AACTCCTGCACCTGGCACCTCAGAATCAACTTCATTCTCAAATAACTGACCAGGGAACTTCGGCGAAAAGCCTTTCCCAAGCCCAGGACCTTAAGAATCATCTTGCAGCAGCTCAGGTCTCTCTTTTAAACTCCATTCAGGCCCTTGCAGCAACTCAGGCCTCTCTGGCCTCTCATCCCAAGACTCAGACCCAAAAGCCAAATCAACATCCCCATTCCCTTCAGGAACATCAACATGAACATCAGGCACAATCACAGGCTGAAAAGGCTGACATGCAACATTTGCATTAATTCATCACTTTCCTCTAGAGCAGTGGTTCTCAACCTGGGATCCCCAGATGTTTTTGGCCTTCAACTCCCAGAAATCCTAACAGCTGGTAAACTGGCTGGGATTTCTGGGAATTGTAGGCCAAAAACATCTGGGGACCCCAGGTTGAGAACCACTGCTCTAGAGCAAGAGAAATATGCTCTATCACTTTGGTACAGATATTAATTATCTGACAATAGTATAATGGAGCCTCTAATCTATTCCTTATCCAGACAAACCATGGGAAATTTTCTGAATTCCTTAATTTCCTTAATTCATAAACACTCTCCAGAAATTGTGGCAATAAAGGAGGAGAGTATAATTGAGGCTATAGGTGCCAAAACATTGATTCTTGAAATACTTTGGAGTAAAAATCCCATAGACCATTGTCATTTATTGGGGCTTCTGGAAAGTAAAGCCTGAAAGTGAATCTAGAGACAGATGCTGTCTAATATGCCTGTTGTAGACAGACACATGTATCAACAATAAGATCACCTGCTGCTGAATCTCATTGTTCATCAGCTCAAGCTTCTTTTTTTCCATTGTTTGCTGCAGATATTTTGATGACACCAAAAGTATAGCCCTTTTTCACTGACCTCCCAGTGCCAATGCTCTTTAAAAAGTTCCTGTTCAACGGAAGAAAAGGAGAAAAGAGTGTTGAGCCTTGTCATAAAAATATTTGTAAAAGAATATTTTTTTTGTCTGAGACTTTGGCTGCCAAAAAATGCAGTTTGAGCTGCATTATATTATTAGTAGACCCGTATAATGCAGTTCAATTCAGTTTAAACTGCATTACAAGCAGTCCCCAAATTATGAACAAGATACATTCTGTAGATTTGTTCTTAAGTTGAATTTGTTTGTAAGCTTCGGATAGCATCGAGAAGGATTAACAACATTGTAGCATTTGTTTTGCTGTCTGTCCCCCTGTTCAGAAGATTTCATCTCACTTTATGTCCCTGTGATAATTGGATTTTGAAATTGGCTTGGCGAGAAAGGTTCACCGGAGATATCTTTTCCCCATGATAACTCTTTCAGGAGTGAATTTCACTTTCAAGGAGTAGGTTTCTCTCACTTCCTGTCGTCTCACCTTTTTTTGTAACTATTAATCATTTGTAAGTTGGATATATGTAACTCAGGGACTGTCTATATTGTCTACTTTGAGCATATAATGAAGTTTAAACTGCATTATTTGTCAGTGTAGACCCAGCCTTGATGCTTTATGTACAAAGGCACTAAGATCCAGCTTGAAATCAGCTTGAGGTTAGGGTGTTCGGAAAACATTCCTCTCCCGTTGTAAACTTCACAGCAAATCCATATAGAAACATGATAAAAAAACACCTCATGAAAAATGCCTTGCTTTGTGGAGCTGTGAGATGAGACCTGCTGGAAAACTGTTTCTTTCTGTGAGGAAGTAAAAAAAGAAAAGAAATACTGGATTTCAAACAAGCAAATTAATCTGGAGCAGAATATTAATTTAGGCATCAGTGTGGACATTCTAGCATCTTCTAGCTGGTTTGGGTATTGCCTGTGTAGGCAAACTGGATCTCTATAATTGCCTGTGTAGATGCATTCTCAGTTAACTGAGGTATGCCTGTACTATTGAAGTTTTAAATATAGGAATGCTCAGACTTTGTTCATTTTCATTATTTCATAGTTTCGTTTTTTAAATGTTCACTTCCTAATTCCATATTTTTGTGTTTCCGTCTTTTAAAATGATGACAAGATTTCACAATAATACCATTCAGAGCTTCTTTTCGGTAAAGGAGTACTGATAACTTTAATTGTTCCTATAAAGAGCAGATTCTTTCTTCTTGCTATATGACATCAAAACTTAAAATTAGCAATACTATAGGTGACACAACTCTAAAAGACTTTCATTGGAGTTTTATTGGTTAATCCCAACTAGAGTAGATCAACTGCAAAACAACAACAACAACAAAAACAATCACTGAATGATGAGTCAGCACATAGATCAGGCATAGGCAAATTTCATCCCTCCAGGTGTTTTGGTCTTCAACTCCCACTGAATTGTGGAAGTTAAAGTTCCAAAACACCTGAAGGGCCAAAGTTTTCCCATGCATGACATACTTACTTACTTACTTAGGTGATCCCTCATAGTCCGAGGATGATGGTCCTCCAAGTTCGGTGTCCTGGCGGTGGGTCCGTAGGTGACTGTGGAGCCCTACATCTTCTTCCACAGTGAGGGCATTGGTTTCCAGGTGGAAGGCAGTCTCGGTCGGGATTAGCTTGATGCGCCTTCCTCTTGCCACGTTTCTCTCTTTCACCCTCCATTCATGCCTTTTCAAATTCTGCAGCACTGCTGGTCACAGCTGACCTCCAGCTGGAGCGCTCAAGGGCCAGGGCTTCCCAATTCTCAGTGTCTATGCCAGAGTTTTTGAGGTTGGCTTTGAGCCCATCTTTAAATCTCTTTTCCTGCCCACCAACATTCCGTTTTCCATTCTTGAGTTCAGAGTAGAGCAACTGCTTTGGGAGATGGTGGTCGGGCATCCGGACAACGTGGCTGGTCCAGTGGAGGATGGTCCAGAGAGTGCTGCAATTCACTGTGTCAAATGACTTTCCAAGGTCAATGAATGCCATGTACAGAGGTTGTTTTTGTTCCCTTCATTTTTCTTGGAGCTGTTGTGCAGTGAAGATCATGTCCACTGTTCCTCTGGAGGGGCAGAAGCTGTTCTGGGATTCTGGGAGGGTGTCTTCTGAGAGGGGTAGAAGGCGGTTTGCAAGGATTCTTGCGAGGATTTTCCCAACTGAGGTTAGAAGGGAGATACCTCGATAGTTTCCGCAGTCTGTTCTTTCCCCTTTTTTGAAGAGGCTGATGATGGTGGCATCCTTGAAATTTGCTGGGATTTTCTCGATCACCCACACTTTTTCTATGAGCTGGTGGAGTTGGTGTGTCAGCTCAGGTCCTCCCTCATAGAGTTGAGTTAATGGATTTATTCTAGTTGAGACAAATGAACAGGATTTTAACCCCTCTTATTAAAATCCCCACTTTTGTCTAGTAAGTGAATGAATCAATCCATTTGAAGTGTGGTCTTTCTCTCTTCCGAATGCCTTCAGCATTGTTGCTGTTGCTGCTGTGTGCTTTCAAGTAATTTCTGACCTATTGTGACTCTTAAAGTGAACCTAGCACAGGAGTTTTCTGACAAGATTTGTTCAGCATGGGTTTGCCATTGCCTGCCTTTGAGTCTGAGAGAGAATGACTTATTCAATATCACTGTTTCATAGCTTCCCTTCCAAATATTCTTCTTATCATTTATTGGTTAAATTTTCTATTTTTTTTAATGACTGCACAAGAATGTAAGACATTTTTTCCTGTCACCATCTACTTTTAAGTTATTTAAAACTTCTGTGGTCATTACTTTTGTTTTCTTAATTTATTCAGTGGTCATTTTGCTTTTACTCTTTATTCCTTAACTTTCCAAAGTAGGCATTCCAAGTCTTCCAGTAATTCAATGCCATCTGATGTTTCCTCTTTCAATTTCCATGCCTCCTTCCTTAAAATCTAATGCTGCATGGTACTATATATGCCCATGTGTAAGTCTAGAATGTTTACTAAAAAAACAGCCCAAAAACTTACGTCTATTTATCCACAAGTCAGTGTAAGTACTATACCTTAACATTAATCAAACAAGGGAGCTATCCTTTTCTCTAGAGTAGAGTGATGAAATGTGAGAACATAGTCTACCCCAGGAGAATCTAAAAGAAGCACTGACCTACTCTATTCTCTCCATTGTGGCATCACTTCTTGCCTTTTTAAATGCCTGGTTGGAAAAATGGCAGTGATAGTGGCTGTTTGGAGAGAGGTATAAAATGCTCAGTTTGTGGAGATAGTGGCCATAAAAGAGAGAGGTATATGTAGAATGCTTGATTTTTCTTTTAGGTTCTCCCAAGATAGATTAAGTTCTCACCTTTACTCAGAGAAGGGGATGGTTCCTTCCCTGCTAAGAGGTAATACTGTACCTTAACCTTTATCAAGAAAGGAACTATTTCTGAAGGCCCAGGTAGGCAAATGAAAACAGCCAGGGGTGCCTGGTCCCCAAAGTGCCACTGACACTTTCCTCTCTCTATGGAATGCCCCCTGACTTATCCACAAGTCATGTCAAAATCCATAATTTTAACCTCAAAATCTTCCCTTCAATTTGTACTTGAGGTTAACTTACATATGCGGTATGCTCTGTGTGAAAAGAAATTAGATAAGTTTAAAAAACACACCCTGCTAAATTGCCCCAGAAATTTCTGGTTTGGATACAGTTTCCCTTCACTTAGTCTGGTTAGTCTGGTTCCTTTTGTCTGGTTTGATGAAGCCTATGTAATAACACTTCTTCCAAAGCAGTGGTTCCCAACCATTTTTTGACCCAGACCACTTTGACCAGGGACCACTCTCCAACATTAGTATCAAAAGGGTTAAAAATCAGTTTTTGGTCAACTTTAGATTCAGTTTGGTTATTTGGGGTGCTGATTCAGAAAATTACATTGGAGACCAGTTGCTCTCATTGCAACAGTGTAGTAACAGTGAGACTGCGGACCATATTTTAGTTCTTGCAGACCACAGGTTGGGAACCACTGTTCCAAAGCAATGTACAACTTTGTTTACTTATATCTGCCTTGATTGTAAATATTATTTTTTTTGCTTTTTATGTTATTTATGTTTTCTCTCTCACATTCTCTTTCTAAAGGTTCATATCTCATTCCCCTACCAACAGTTGAGCCAACTAGCTGTGCAAACCTAGGAGGTGTTTGCCAAGGTAAGAAACAAATAATATCTTGCGGGTCCTGAATATACTAAATAAATTAGAAAGAAAATAATCAGTTATTTAGCTATGATTTAAACCAAATGTCCTAGTAGAAAAACAAACAAAAATGATGTTTTAGCCTTGGCATATAGTCATATTTTGTTTACTATATTTGGAAAGCATGGAACAATTCATTTGATAGTGCTGTTTCTGTACAGGATTTTCTTATTATAAAGCATAGCCAGCAGATTCTATAGAAATAGGGCTTAGCTTCATCTTTTCTTTTATGACCTTTATTACATTGTCTATTTCAAAACTGTAATTTTCCCTGTTGCACAGTAAATGTTATCTGTCAATGCAGAATACATGAACAAAATCTATAGTATTGATTGCTACAGTTTTCTTAGACAAGATCCATATGGTTGTCCTGTGAGGAAGAGCCAGAGAGAAGAAAGAAAGAGAACTATCTGGGAGAAAGACTGATAATTTGGAAATATGGCTTCTGGCATTTCATATTTACTCGTACCTGTTTTGGGAGGCACTTTTATGGTTGTTGCTGACTTCCCTTCCCTGTAAGTCTGGAAGGTTGTCCACCCCTAGGGGCTAAAATGAAAGTAGTATCCATTTGACTAAATACTACCTACCGTAGTAATAACTTATTAATATTAAATATTTCTATGCCACTAGACTGTTAAAACCAAACATCATTTATATAATTTTGAGGAATCAGCTTCTTACAGTCCAAATCACTAGCATAAATTTATTTTGTATTAAATGTTTGTACAAGCTTGGCCATCTACCATATCCAGATTTGGGGAATCACCACAATTGCCTAAGTTATTTCTATTTTATATGTGAGCAAATGAGCTTTGTCTAGAAATACATTGTTGAAGTAGAATTTTGAACTTGGGTTTCATGCAAAAATAATTATGTCTGCATTGTTTAACTTGTTTACTGCTTTAAGAAGCAGGTGCCTCCTCTCTCTATTCATGTTTTCATGCATTATTTCCATTTAGCCCAATTTCATTTAACATTCCTATTCCATACCAGTTCACCTCTTTCTCATCTTTGTTACCAGCTACTGTAAATTCCACCATTACATCACCCACTGTTACCACTAACATGCCTGATACTAACAGAACCGATAAACAAACCGATGGTAAGAAATTCAGTATTACATTTTCTTTCTTAAGTAACTAAGATTCTGCAGTGTCTTTTTAAGTATACTCGGGACCTTGTTTGCTTCAGCATACACTGGTACTGATGTCTAGTTTTGGAAAAGGGAAGTCAAGTACAACACAGGAGAAATATCTTTTCAGACATCTGTCACATGTTTCATTACTTTTCAAATATTAAATATGCAATACTGATACTGTTGCTTCTGGGTTATTTTATTTTAATGCCTTTTCTCAGAATGACCAAAACCTTTATCTACCACCCTGGGCATTCTCAAAATTGTAGTCTAAAAAGGCAGTTCTTTCCAGATGCTGCTCGGGAACTGATTGTTTGTGTATTTCTTGTTAGAATATTTGTAACTCTTTTAGCTGCTCTAAGTTTCTATTTGGGGCACCACAGAAATACACTTAAAATAAAGCTATGGGTTCAACTTTCAGACTCTTCCTTTAATTTAGAATGCTTCTTATTCTGACTTTAGGACAGTATCACCTGAATTATGACCCTGATCTGCACCCAGAATCCTGAGAGAGGCAGGTTGAGTTTTCCTTATCCATAAATCCAAACTCCTCCAAAATTGTTCACGTTGGCAACTGACATAGTGACATCTTTTCTTTCAAATTGTTCAATGTACACAATTATATTAAAAATATTGTAGAAAATTATATTCAGACTATATGAACAAGGTATGTATGAAACATAAATGAACATAAATTTATGTTTAGACATAGGTCTTATCTCCAAGATACTTCACATTCATACATGCAAATGTAGATTTTCCAAAATCTGGAAAAAAATCAAAATCCAAAACACTTCTGGTTCTAAGCATTTAGATAAGGGATACTCAATATGTATTAAATTTTCAGTGTTAACTATACAAATGAAATGATTATGAAAAAGGACAATGGTTAGCTTTAATGAGATCAACTTCACCAATGCCTTTTTGGCCAGGGATGGTGACCTGCACAGGAGGATATTTATGCTTTTTACTATCTGGCATAAAGATGAGGAGGTAATTTTATCAATTTCTCTCAGTTCTGCAGCCCCTATAATGAATGTCCTCAAAGCAGATGTGGAAGAATATAAATCCTGAACTAATTCTTCCTAATTTCCTCACATACTGTTAGTTTTCTCCCCACTCTGGGAAATATAACCCTTTGCTGTGTTCTCCCTGTATTCAGACATCACATTGTATTATCCTGCTTCTTGGCAGGGGGTTGGACTGGATGGCCCACAAGGTCTCTTCCAACTCTATGAGTCTATGGAAGAATTATTCTGTGGAGAAAAAAGTGTGCCTGTGTGTGTAATAACCACGTTTTTCTCACAGAAAACAAAACAACTATTTTCTGCCTAGAAAATGGTTTCCTGCATATGAAAGAATGTTTTATTGACAGGAAACCCAGAAAAATAGGGGGAGGTATGTTTTTTTTTCAGAATCATAGAAAGTAAGGTACAGGCTTATGAAAAAAGATGGAGTACTGAGACAGTGAGAACTATAGTGTAACACAAGAGCAAGGGACTGCCAATCTGTATATGGAATATGGCACACTAAAAACTGATACTGGAAGCTATTGATACAATACATTTTTTGAAAAAGAAAACACAGTAGTAGGCTTTCATTGTGGCTTCTCTTACACTTTGGGTTTTCTTTACTTTTCTTGAACTTTTTACGATCTCTCTCGTCTTCCTTCTGGCTTCTCTTTTCCAGCTCACATTTTTATTTTCTTCCACTTTGATCGTCTTACTCCCCGTTTTCCTCTTTCTTTTCTTTCCCTCTCTGTCCTTTTCATCCATCCCTATGTTTAACACTCCCCTATCTATGACTACCTCTGTATGGCTCTTCTCCCTTTTTCACCCTTTTTCTCTCCCCAACTCGTCTTTTCCCCTCCTTAGTTTCCTTTTTCTCCTTTTTCTACTTTCTCTGGTCCATTCTCCTTTCTCTCTTCCCCTTCCACCCTCTTCTCTTTTCATTCATTTTTTCTTATACCCAGAAAGTGAATAGAGAAATTAGTCCATTCAGTTTCATGAAGAGAAAAGGAACAAGCTATTCTGGGGAAAATAAAATAAGGGGAAAGTTCACCACTGCATGTAATGTGTTGTCACGACTGTTCTTATATGAGCTTCTTCCCAAATGCAACTGGTTATACTTTAAAGTTTGACAAGACTCTTTGTTGTACTGGATAACTTATTCACTAATTTAAGAGGCATATATGTCCACTCCTTGCTCATATTTCATGCATTTTTACCATTTTGCCCAGTCTCATTAACATTCCTATTCCATACATACAAGTTCACCTCTTTCTCATCTTTGTCACCAGCTACCGTAAATTCCATCATTACATCACCCATTGTCACCACTAACATTCCTGATACTAATAGAATCGATAAACAAACCAATGGTAAGAAATTCAATGTTATATTTCCTTTCTTCTGTGAGTATTATGAGACATCTGATTGTAGAAAATACTACTAAAAGGATTTTGCCTGGGAAGCACCTAATTGAATCCACAGAAGAAACAGGAGAGAGGTTTAGTAGTTCTTGAATGACAGAGATCATTTTACAATTTGTGTTATGATTATTTCATTAACCCTCAAATGCTAGCTGTTGACATTCATGTTATTTAAGATAATCTTCATATTGATGCTCATCAGTTATGATATATTGTCTCTGATGAAGTGCAGCTGATCATAGAAATCTTGGGATATTCTTGGCCTACATTCTGTGTGTGCTGTCTTTCTCTTCTTGCATATCACTTTTCCCCCCTCTTTTTCTCCCACTAGCTCACATTTTCTCCCTCTCCCCTTTTCTCCATTTATTGGTATGGGGTTTAGGAGAAACATCCTGAGTGGTGGAAAGGGTCTATACTTTCCACAGATTCTCTCTTCTAAAGCTTGCGGGGGGGGGGGGGGGGGGGGGGGGTCTTCAGTCATTTTATGGCTGGGCAATCCTTTCACAGTATAGGTAAATCCACTAATTATGTGGGATCTTTCTCTCTTGAACTCTCTCTCTTTTGTTCAGAATTTTTCGAGCCTGATCATTTTCTCAGTATCATCATAAGTCTAAGTAATGAATGTGGTTGGATTATTTATATCAATGGGAATTGCAGGCATTTTCAATGAGCAAGGGAAAGATGGCCTACACATCAGAACAAACAAATGCATTATAAATCAATACTGTTCCCACTGAAATACAGTACTTGCTTACACAGTTGTAAGTCTTATCTTATGGGGATTTTTTTTTTGTAAATAATTCGCTTTTTAATTATATGGCTTCCTGTATACAGACCTGCAGGAAATGAAAGATCCTGCTGCAGTGGTCTTCAGAGTCAAGAGAAATTCAGATGACTCCTCTCAGCGATTGCTACCAGGGCAGGAAGATTCTAAGATAAAAGGTGTCAAAAATATAGGAATGATTTCAACTCCAATAGTTTGGCCTGTGAAACCAAGGCTTTATCATACTAGTAAATCTGCATCAATGGAGGAGAAAAGTTCAGAGAGAAGAAATGCACTCAATTATTTCATCCTGACAACTCCTGAGGTCACATCGTCTGCTCCTCGGGAAACACAAGTTAATGTTTTGGATCCTTTTACAGAACAAGTAAACACTGATGATATATCTTCTCTGAACAATTCAAGCATTAATAGTATTTCAGAGGAATCTAAGAGCCTGCTAAGTGAGAGTAGTACTCCAAGGGAAGAACCCACTGATCTGCTTGATCATATCAGAAATGTGATTTTTCCTTTTAGACAGAGTGAAAGTCTTGAATCAGAACTAATATGGACTTGGGCACCTCAGTTAGAAGATCCTGTGTCAGGTTCTTTATTTACTTCTCTGGTACGCCAAACCCCTCTCTTTGAACCTACAAAAGATCTTCAGTGGGTACTATCAAAGAATTATGCTTTATCTTCTGCATATAAAGATGTGTACAGTTTTTTACAATCTTTGAATGCATGGAATGAAGTTGCAACTGATAATCTTATAAGTTCTGGAATTTCAGAAGAAATCTTTCCTTCCTATTCTATGAAGTCTTCTTATACATACCCTAGTGAATTATATCAAGAAATAAAGATGGAGTTACTCGAAAGCACACCTGAAAGTGTCTACTTAGAACCCACACAGAGAATTCTACAAGAAGATTATGTTAAGAATGGATTTTACATTGTTGGCGAACTCCAGCCCACAAAATCTAATTACATCAAAGACCATAATTCAGTACAGTTTAAAAAACATGTTTTAAAGCAAAGTGCAAATCCTTCTGGCTCTTTACAAAATATGAAAGCCTGGTTTCCAGATGTTATTCCTGTAATTCAGCCAACAGAAGCTGTCTTGCCAGTAGAATACAGTATGAAATGGCAAAGTTTATCAAAATTTAAAGAACAAGGGCTAGACATTCAACATGCTAATTCTGTTTTATCTTCTTCTCAAGAAACTTTTTATATACCTTCTTTTAAAAGTGGCTCATTTACACATATGCCATTAACAGACCAGCTGCACCATACAGAGGGAGAGGAGGCCTTGGTTCATAAAGATGAATCTGAATCCATAAATACATTCATTTCTTTGGTTTCCTTGGAAAATATCAAAACAAAGTCAAACAAATTTACAGGTTCTGGACATCTGCAAAACAATAAATCAGATAATGTATCTAATTTCACTTTTTCTGCTACTGTTTTCCCTAAAATCAATAAATTGTGGGAGTCCAATGACTTAAGTCTTCAAGTGCAATATGAAGATACTCTGTCTTTTCCAAGAAATTATCAGACTTTGGGACAAGATCTCCATGTGTCTTCTGAGGAATCTAGAGAAAATTTGACACTTAGTGAACAGGATTTTTTCATAACAAAGAGAGTGTCCTATTTCATATTCCCCACAAATATAGATGGCATCACTGTGCAAACAACATCTAATAATAGTTCACTGGACCATGGAGTTGTGAAAATAGGCACTTCTATTCCTGTATCAGAAAAGGATGGAAATAGATTAAGTTTGTTTGCTCCAACAGTTACATCAAGGATTTCAAAAATTCTGGAAAACACATCACAGTTGGACACAAAAACAGAAGAGGGCCTGTCTCTGAACTTAAGTTTGTCTATAAATGCTACTTCTCCACTTCATTTCCTTTTGACCTCTTTGGAAGTACCTGTGATTCAGCCTTCCTTGCATTCTGACAAATTATATATAACATTTGTTGATGGACAAAAAGATAGTTTAGCTCTGCAGCAAATTCCAGATAAACCCACATTTGCTTATATAAATGCTTTTCATTATCATACTGAAATGCTGTCTTTTGAATCTTCATGCTTAGATGGTGCCTGCACAGATTCATCATCAAATCCAATAAATATAGAAAGCCTGTCTATGTATATGACTAGACAGGGTAACCTGTTCTCAAGAGCTTCTGATTATGTACCAACGAAAGGACACTCGCTTAATGACAATGGTTTTCCAGGAAAACAAAATCCATACATATCTAATGTGTTTATAGGGGAATTGCCTTTGGAAATACTGCAAACTCATAGTTATAGATTTCAAAGCAAAGCAAATTCTCAATTTGATAACAATTCAGCAACACAAATGTCTTCTACACCATTACTATCACAAAGTTTGTTGAATAGCCTTGATCAAAATTTTCCTGGCTCTAGCTCTTTGTGGAATGAAGAGCAAAGCATACAAAGAAGCCCACTAAATGAAATGTTATTGACTGATACCGGACAGCAATCAGCAAAAGATAAAGGAAGCAAACTTACCCCTTCTCTTCAGCTATTACATGCAGAACTGTTTGATGGTGATGTGGATTATAGAAATATTGAATCTGATATAGAAGCTACTGTTTCAAGAGAAGAATCAGTTTGGAAGGTACATCACAATTCTAGCAAGCATAATGATTATCCTATTAATAGCAAATTAACCTCCAGTATCCAGGCTACATTGAGCCACTCATCATTTCTAGGATTGCATTCAGTTCCAGTGGTTACTGGCATGTTAGTCCAATCTTCTCCCTTTGTTGAAACTTATGAACCCTTTAATGAAAATGCATTAACTCATACAAAAATGATGTTTGGAATAACATTCCATCATAACACAGGAGCTCAAAACTCAGTGGAAATGTCAGTTTATGAAAATCCTCACATGAAGGTGGTGTCTGAAGCAAACCAAAGTATTGTGCCCAAAACAACACTGAGTCCTGGTAACAATTCTCCCACGTTGCTTTTGTCCTGTTTGTTATGTAACCCCTTCAATGACTGGGACTGCACTTGTGGACCTGAGGTCAAGCACAGTATGTCAACAAATCCATTTAGATGTAGAAAGAAAATCATTTTATCTTCTAGATTTTGTAGAAACAGATTTAGTGTTATTGGAGTAGATTAGCCTTTCTTCATACCATAAGCCTTGAAATCTTAAAGTAGAAGTGTATTTTATGTCAGGTTTTTTTTAAAAAAAAATCTTCTTTGGTGTATGATTCTAATTACTACCATTCCATTACTAATCACAAGGACTTTGAGGAGACTACGATGGCAATTAACCACTGATTCATGTGTTCTGTCTTTAGGCATGATTTTAAATGTACAATCTTAAAAAAATCAGCAAAGGCATAAATGAATGTATAGCTGTATAGTATGTAAATAAATAAGCTTGATCAAATGAGAGGGTGGATGTGAAAAATCAACCTTCCCTCATCCTGAAACAAACAAACAAACAAAAAAACACTAATGAGATTTACCACAGAGTCTGCCCATGTATATTTTACACAGTTGCAATTCTAAAGAAATTGTATATATAAAATTTTAAAACAAAAATTGTATGTTTCGATCATTTTGATTATGGCATTTTATAGTCTCCTGAGAGTGGCTTGAAAGTTATAAAAAAATTTGTACTAACCTCAGTGGTTTAGTGGTGGTGGCAGTAAATCTCTTTAAGTTTTCTCTGAAGATAACATATTAGAGCTTTCTCCTTAAATTTGATTTTATTTGAAATGTATTTTGATATTTTCACCTAATATAAGTGCATTATAGTAGAAATAATCTTCTACTCATTGAAACTCATTCATGTATCACTAAAGGTTAATTTACATTTCCCAATATACATGCTGTGATTTATGACCACCAATGGTACTTGGACCTGCAGGAAATCATAATCCAATCCACTGAAATGAATGGAAACAACATTTCACAAAGAAATTGCCAAACAGTACAACCCTCTTATCCATGAATTTAATATTCATGATTTCACTTTCCCATGCTTCAAAAAAAAATCCCACCTGGAAGCATTTGTTGGCCTCTTTAGGTGATTCTTCAGTGTGATTCTATGGTATGTTTCCAGCCAAAGCCTATATTCAAAATATAGGCTTCACTATTACTCACAGTTTCAAGTATCCAGTGTATCTCCCATGGATACAGAGGTTGACCTATTTGTTTCCAGTTCCCTTCCATCAATTTAACTGGTGATCTCCTAAGTTTATTTCATCAGCTCATTCCCATTTGATGGCTAATCAGTGGTTTCAAAACTTTTGTTCTCCACTTTATAGAAATTAGCATGGTTCAGAAGTATTCCTGTTTGGAACTGGATTTGGCCCTGTGCCTCTGATTAGTACAGTTTGTAACATCTGGAAACTCAATACATATAGAAGATAAATGGAAAAAGCATGATGCACAAAGATATCATGAATGTAAATTTTTTTTCAGTATGGGACCCCTTATAATAATGTACACCAATCAACAAGCGAGAAATCCCATAACATTTTTCACAGTCACAGAAAGAATATCTGTGTCTTAAGGGCTCAGTAGATATTTTCTAATTAAATTTGAAGGAACTGGGAACTCTCACTATATCCTGGCATCTTGCAGTGCACTGGCAAAGGTGTTAAAATTTGGCTTGGTTTAAGAAAATACATTGAAATAGAGAAGGATATTTCTTTCCAAATGGTAGCAAATCCAAAAATAAATAAATAAATTAGAAATGAGTTATAGTTGGCAACACATTATTGGCTTGGAATCAAATATTATGTACAGATCAACTCTATCAAAATGTATCAAGTCACTTCAGCACAGGGCTTGGAATATTCTATTTTGTAGCAAAAGGATGCATATCTTCAACATGTTTTTTTTTCAGTTTCCTCTAAATTTGTTCAGGTGGATTTGGTACCTTTTAGAAACCCATTTGGATTTAATGTACTACACAATTAAAAAAAAACACCTCACCATTTTCATGATCACTAGTATTATTTTTTTCTTCCCTCATTCATTATGTTAAAAACCCAATAGCTATCTAACATTAAACATTCACCACAGTCTCAAAAAGATGCCATTGTTAGATTGTTGATATGTGCATTAAGTCACTTCTAACGTGTGACAACCCTAAGACAAACTCTTTGTTGGGTTTCTTGGCAAGATTTGTTCAGACAAGATTTCACATCTATAACTTGCACAAGGTCACCTAAGGATTCAAGGCTGAATGAGTTCAAGGCCTAGTGCAACATTTAGACCAATGTTTTCACTGAGCCACATTATAAGATACTTCCACATTAGGCATAATTTATCATACAATTTGAAAAAAACGGTGTTATAATATACTTCCCAATAAAAATATAAAGACATTAATTTAAAAAATTCAAAATCTATTTAAAAAATGCAACAAAATTGTAAACATTCTGTTTCTATCTTTCCTTATGTAACTTACAAAATGTGTAACAGTTGGAAAGGTCACCTTCATTTCACCCATGGCATAAACTTAGTATTAATTCTTATTTACTTTATTTATGATGTAGTTTCCCCCCCAAAAAATTGAGACTTATGGTGACCAAAAAGTTAGTCTGTTAATCTGCAAGGATAGCAATAACAACTGTGAATTACTATCAGATAGCTTAATTTGTAGATAGAGCAGTTGGCTTCATTCAGCAGGGATGAGGACATGTGTCCTAAGGGCCTTGTGTAACTCCTACTGGCCCTGAAAATAGACCCCCCCATTTTAAAATGTTATAGGGAATAGTTGAATGATGTACACACTTAAACCCCTCCCAAATTACCACAAAGCATGGTTTGATTCCCCTTATAACTTCCACAGAAAACCATAGAAATCCTTCCCAAAAATTTCAGCTAGTTTGCAGAGATCTGATTTGATGCCATGCAGGGAATAGCCATGGTGTGGAAGCCTCTTCCCTTTCTCACAGTAAACAAACTTCCAAATTTACACTGTAAATTGATATATATATATATATATATATATTTTGGGGGGGGGGACAGCATGAGTTTGCTTTGAGTGACAGAACATAACCTTCAATGCTTTTCCAGCCCTCTAGAAACAGACTTGTAGGACATATGTAGACTTGCTCCTTTCCCACTTCCCCAAGTAAGTACAGCTTCCACCAAAGAAACATATCATTGAATATACAAACCAATATAAAAATCTCCCTTTACAGTAGAGTCACATACTACTCTAGCTACTACATGTGAACAAACAGATTTTGATATCAAGGAACAGATCCCGGTACAGCAGTGGTTCTCAACCTGGGGTCCCCAGATGTTTTTGGCCATCAACTCCCAGAAATCCTAACAGCTGGTAAACTGGCTGGGATTTCTGGGAGTTGTAGGCCAAAAACATCTGGGGACCCCAGGTTGAGAACCACTGCTGTACAGGATCATAAAGATCATCAAAGATCATACACATACACACATTGTGAGGCTTTTCCAACATCAGTTAAACACTGGTGATAAATCAAATATTAATCAAGTAATATAAATAATGATCATGTATTTAAAGTCAACAGATTACTTGAAGGCAGAGACATAGATACTTATAATGCATAAACCTTATTTGAACACTGATAAAGATAAATGACCAGCAGATTTCGTAATGATTATATTATTTTAAAAAATCATCCATTGAACAGTAACTTTTTAATAAGTTAATTATAATTTATAATTAAAGGTAAGATTTGTTAGAAGTTAGGTAAGTACTTTTAAGAGGGCAGCTAGAGTCTGCCCTACAATTATTGTTTTAAAAAACAGAAACAAAAATTAAGCCAAGTGCCAATGTTAATTAAAAGCAAAAGTCAATTTTAAAAGCTAGTTAGGCTGAGTAATCAGCAGACTGTTTCTACAAGCATAATCAACCACATCACTAGATGAGATTTATTGTTGTTATGTGCCTATAAATAACTTTGACTCATTACACATCTTGTCAAGTTTTTTTCTTGGCAAGATCTACTCAGAGGTTTGCCATTCTCTCTAAAGCTGATAGAATGTGGCTTACCCAAAGTCATCCAATGAGTGGTTTCATAGCTGACGATGAACCCTTGTCTGCTGGTGTTTTAGACTACCACTCAAACCACTGCACCAAATTTGGCAATAGTTGAAGGTTTTAATGTAATATAATCATCCAGTTTATCAGTAAGTTGAGTTTATTCATCATTGGAGGATGGCAATTCACTGAGACATCCTTTGGTCATCATAAGAAAAACTGCGTATGAACTGTATAATTTAGGAGTGAGCAAAGTGTAGCCTCTAGGCCACATTGACCCCCCTCTCTAGGTCATTTGAGCCACCCAAGGATACCTCTAATATTGGGGGGGGGTTAAACCCCTAAAAATGTCCACCACACTACAGGGGCTATGGTGCAGCTTTGCCATATTTCTGCTTCCTTTTGATCTTTTAGGTCTAGGAGACATATGTGTGTGCATGCCTTTAAGTTTGCTAATTACATCAATCTCATGCATTTCATAGGGTTTTCTTAGGCAAAGAATACTCAGAGAGATAGCTTTACTAGTCCCTTCCTCTGAGAAATAGCCTGCAACACCTGGTATTGGTTGGCAGTCTTCCATCTAAGTATTAACCAGACCTTGCACAATCAGATAGGATCTGATACCTTAAGAGTGTTTAGATTCTTTTTAGGAGATGCTTTCATTCAAATAGAAAATAAATTGGAAGTTAAGCTATAATCTGCTTCCTAGTGAATAAAGTCCTCCTGTTGATGTAAAACAACCCAGGTGAGACCAAAAACATGGGGAAATTGGACTTCAATCCAGGATCGGGGCACATTAAAAAAAAACCTTCCTAGCACAATTTTACAAAGTCAGGAGATGGGAGCATAGGTGTGGGTAGTACACCAAGTACCTCCACAGGTTTTAGCTGTTACCCACCCCAATATGTTTAATTGTTTTCAGAAATATAGGCATTTATAAAACACGAACTGTTGTTCTAACATTGATGTTGTTTTTATAATGCCTAGGGGGCCTGTTCTACAGAATTGCTTTTACTGTCTACAGTGACAAAGACATTTCGGAGTCAAATGTTCAGAGTGCTGTTGCCAACTGGGTAAGTTAAGCTGATTTGTGTGAACTTTCAATATTCTTACTTCATTAATTTTCAATGTAACCAATGCAAGAGGTTTTTACAAAAAATCTTCATGCTTAGTTGGTCCTGCATGCTTTTTTTTTGAACCTGAGATATAGTTATGTGGAGCTGAAACACTTCTGCTTTTTATGTGAAATATATTTCACTTTTAAAATATTGAAGTGATTGACTGTATGATCATATCCTCAATTAATATCCAGTGATAAGTCCTTGTCTCCCTAGAACCAGGGACCTTTCCACACTACCCAGTTATAGCACTATTGGCTCACATACACCAGAAAGGTTAACCATCATCAACATATTCATCATATTTAATTACTTATTAATCGCCTTCCATCCAAGATGCTCTAGGCGATTTACAAGCTAAATCTACCCTGGAACAGTCTTGAATTTTACATATTTGTGCCAAATCCAGGGCCAAAGTCTAGACTGCCCAGGAATGTATCCACTCTGCTACATTGTCATCTCCTCTGTGTCTCTGTTGCTCCTAGCTGGCCATGTGCTCCTGGTCATTCAAGGCACCTCTGTTGATATAAAAATAGGACAATTTTTCATGCAGAGAATGATATTTCCTGTATGAAAATTCAGTCTTCTGTAAAAAGCAGCCACATGTCAATTTTGTGCACAATGAGTCTCAAATAGAATTTCTTGACTCTCAAAAAATGTTTGATTATTTTTTGAATATTTAAAATATTCTTTCCATTGCTATATCATGTCACTTTTCGGGCTTCTCTTTTCCATGGAAAACATAGCCAGCCCCCTAAGTCATTTGTCACAAGGCTTGGTTTCAAGACCTATGATCATCTCATTCACCTGGATATGTTCCAACTTGTCAATATCCTTTTTGAACCATGATGCAAATTAATCAGATTCAAATGTTCTACAACAGCACAGATGGCAAAGCACTTATATAGCTAATCTATATAGAGCCATTTTGCTCCTCTAAAGTCTTGATGTTTTGCACTGTTGTGTCTAAAGCAGATTCAATATTTTATGACCATTGTGAGATTATAGACATGGCAAGAAAAATCAGAAGCCTGATATTCTTTTGTAGAGACAGCCGTAAACCTGTGGTTATCTGCACTGTTAGCTTGCTGGATTTATTTAAATTGATTTTTATACTTTCTCCAGCATTTTAAAGGTCAAATTTTCTATTATCCAGCTATTAGTGAAAGCAAAATGTGAGATTCTCTGTATTCTTGCAAAGTTATACATGCCTGTTGTCAATTGTTTTTAAATAACATATTTTCACATAACACTGTAATAAGTCATTGTGGTGATGAAGAAAGAGGTAGGCTTGTTTTATGTAATGCATAATATTTCTTTTGATATTTTTTCTTTTATTTCCAGCTAAATCACACCTTTCAGGATTGGAATTACACAGTATATGTGGTCAATATAAGGTAACTGTTTAATATGACTGAACAATCAGGCAACTATGATGTGTTGTGGAAGATAGTTATTTCTGATATTTATAGTTGTTTTTTTATTTGTTTCAAAAAATTGCCTTTTAGTATTCAACCAGGTCCTGTAAAAGACAGAGCGAGGGAGAAGAGAAATGTCAATCATCAAAGGTAAATTTGTGTTAGATTCTTGCTAACAGGATTCAAAGTAATTTTGATACTTCTATTAGTTCGTAGATCATGGATACTGATAATTGCTTAAAACAAAACATCGCTATATCATGTCACTTTTTAAAGTGCTGCTCCATAGATGGGTCCTGGTACACTAGCTGTTGGCTGCCAATCCGCAGCAGGTTTCAAAGAAAGAACGAAAGAAAGAAAGAAAGGCCATTAATAGGCACAAACATGGTGCCAGACTGACACACTGGAAGGGGAATACCTTGTCAGCCCTCCACATCAGATAGCCAAAAAAGCATTGACTCAGGCAAAGCTAATAACTTATATTTATCTGGCAACAGCATGAGATACATTTTCTGTGGCTCCTCAAGATGCTTTGGGAATATTTGGGCACAAGGGAAGCAATGAGTATGGACAGTTTTAGGTTTCCTTTTACTTAATTGCTCCTTCGCTGGGGAGAATAGAAAGCAATGGTCAAGTGGAAAGGAATATTTAATGATCTCTTTCCTTCTCTGTTCTCCTTCCTTCTATCACACAAATGCAGAAGTATTGGAGTATTTTCTCTATCATGTGTTAAAAGTACTTCCATGTTCCCACATCATTGATGATTGCATAACCATGGTGGGTATGGATCTCAATGACAATGAAGAATTAGCACTTTTCAAATGTTTAACAATTTGGAAGGAAAGATCCAGGTAGTATGAAATCCACATATTTGTGAGAATAAAACACATGGAATTTTTTGTTCTTGTCCAGAAAGTCAAAACTGAAAAAAGGTTTCATGTCTGCTTACAGAATGATTGACTTCACTGTGAACTACAACCTACCGCATTTATATATCTTTCTGTGCAAATAAAGTGTTTCACCAGAATTCCAGGCTATATCGCCCCTGGGCTGAGAACAGCGGTATATAAGCAAAGTAAATAAATAAATAAATATCTTTGGACTACTGGCAAGTGCCTTAGCCAGACTTCCTCATCTACCAATTGTTTTCCCTGCAGCATCCTCTAGTTTGCTACTAGCTTCAGAAGAGTGCCATTTATTTTCCAAGTAGGAAGAATAGACATCTAGGGAACAGATTATTCAAACACAGCTGTTGTGGAAGCAGTTACATGGAACAAGGAAGAACAAAGGAAAATTGAATATACAAGTGGTTTGCTCATCTTGCAACACTAAGCAATTTGCATTGAAATTATCCAAAGCTTAGACTGTCCACAAGGTATTACATACCAATGACAGAGCTGTTTGCAGATCCCAGAGTGCATAAATATTATCAACACTGTTTAATTTTCCTTTCCAGTTGCTCTCTGTGCCCAATTAGATGATGCCCACTGTAGAGCAGAGTTGAATTGTTCATAGATGCCTCCCCCCAGTGTTTTATAAGATAAATATCATGGACATTATGTTTAATCCATTGATGCCATGCCCTTTTTTGACATCACAGTAATGCCACACATTTCTGTTCCTGCTGCTGCTGCTTTCCCCTGAAAGATCCTACAGATCATAGGTGTAGTCATATGGCAAAGATTGGGTCGCCTGGGTAAGAGAGATGTCTTCCTAAGGCCTTCCCTGTTTCCCTGTGTGGTTTCCCATTTTTATTTTGCACACAGCTTTGCAGTTTTCCAACAAGTGTTATTTACCAGCGCAATAAACATGCTTTCTGCTATTGCTCTATTTTGTGATGACACTTCAGGGTGATACTCTATGTTTAATCTTACTACAAGGAATGGCCATTCTTACTGCTGATTAACCAGCAATACATGGAGGCAAACCCCACTAGTCACATTTAACAATCTAAGCAACAAAAAAAAAAAAAAGATCATGGTTTCACTGTGTGCCAAAAATATATGCTACTACCAGTTCACACAGATGTAGAATTAGATTACCAAATATTGTTTGTGTGATTTGAATGCGATGTCTCATGGAGTAATAGTGTTAGCTGGTAGAACAAGCCTGTGCTACTACTGAATGATCGTTCTGGGGATAGAGGGGAATTATTTTAGTGGAAACACCATTATTAGTTGAGCATGTTCCTCTAAAATAATTCAAGGTGCTTATAGAATCATAGAATCAAAGAGTTGGAAGAGACCTCATGGGCCATCCAGTCCAACACCCTGCCAAGAAGCAGGAATATTGCATTCAAAGCTTGTATGTTTACACTTTTAAAATAGGGAGATGAATCTTTTAGCTCCTTTGAGAGAAAGACATTGGTAGCATAAGCTTTCATAGATTAAAGTCTATTCCATCAGATGCCTGATGAAGAACAGTTGGCCCTCCACCTTTGCATTTTTCTCTTTTATGTATTTGATTATTTGCATGTGTTTAACTTTTGCTTAAGTAGCCTGATCTCCTTGCCACTTCCATCTCCCACGCAGCCAAAATCATCACCCCTTACTCCCAAGACAATCCCAACCAGCCTTTAAACCTTCTCCTAGAAAATCCAATAGCGAAAACCATATCTTCAGCTTATCCCAGCTGTCTCTTCCCAGCCAAAATTGGTTCTTGGTGGGAAAAGAGTCTGTAACATGCATGTTAGATGGCTTATGATATTTGCAGTTTTCCATATTTACAGGTGTCTTGTTCCCTTAACCCTCGTTAAAGTGAAGGTCTGACCATAGACTTAATTCTATGAAAGCTTATTCTGTCCACTTCTTTCTCTCAGTCTCAAAGTTGCTACAAGATTCCTTTGCATGCTGATCCAGACTAACATGGCTATGTCTTTGAACTCTTAAAATATGTTGTCTTACTTATATATGCAATTATTAATTAGGAAAATGCATTTCTCTGTAGACTGTTTTACTCTGTCTCTCCTAGAATGCTCATGACCTAACAAGAATTATAATGAACCTTTGTGACAAATGATTTAGGTGTAGTGTAGATATCTTTTTTCTGTTGTTTTTCATAAATTGACTGCATTATGTTGATTATAAAAGTCTTTTGTATTTTTAGTTTTATTGTAAAGTTTTAATTTTGGATATATTAGTAATTGTGATTACTTTGATTGCCCCATTGGTGCATATTAATAGAATGTTTGGATATGAATTCTGACACACCATATATGGCCTTTCCCATTTATTCTGTTTTTTCCAACAACCTCATGTGACTTATTTGGGGGCAAAGAAAACTTTTTATGAAGTCAGAGAGAGTTGGTGAAATTATAAAGATTATGGTAGGATTTATAGACATGACTATAATTTATTTGATTCTTTCATGTTGGGATTAGAAGGTAAAATAATTTCTTGCAATGATTTGCTGAATGATTTCAGGCATATCCTGACTTCTTTTTCATAAATCATAAGAAGGATGTCCTATTGCTACCTCATATTTTCCGTACCTGGGCTGTTTTCACATTGCAGTTTTGATGTTCGGGCTCTTTTGGTTTATAACGCTACCAACAATATAAGTTTAGAAGAACAAACAATTGAGAGGAAACTGGAGAGCAATAATGTCAGTATTGGGAATGGTTGGAGAGTCAAGAAAGTAGACGTTCATCCTGTTGGTAAGAAATGAAGGCTCACCTTTGCTGTTTTCATACTGTGTTTGCTTAATTAAAAATGCCACTACCCTTTATTAAAAATGCCACTACCCTTAACAGGTTTTTTCACAGTTTAAGAAACAAATACATTTTGAAGGGATAAACTAATTTTGAAATTGCTGTGCATTTACTCAAAATTCCTGTATTTTAATTGCCATTATAAATTGTAATAAAAAGAAATTTATTCAGAGTTTAGGTAAACTAGATTGTGCTTTAGTAACATTCAAAGTAGAAAGAATGTATCATAAAAATAGAAATGGACAAAGGTTTTGTGGTAGCAAAGATCAGATATATTGTATCCTTGGAAAATGAAGTTATATATTTGTACCATTTTCTATTTGGACTCAAGCGCAGGTTGCAGTATATTCTTCTAAAAAAAATGAGGGTATTCAAGGGACTATATGTAAGTTAAATTGATTCAAATACCAAAGGGTGATGTGCAGTTCAAATCAGCCTCGTTTAAACGAGGCTTTTCTCTTGTTCATGGTTTACATTTGGTTTTGTAGAAAAATGTGAAAATGAAGAAAATCCTCCAAATTATCTTTGGGCAGATACCAGACCCACGGTGACTGAAAGTATTCTCTGCCATGGCAGTTCTACCCAAATTGCATCAAGAACTTGGTAAGAATTCAGAAATTAATAGATTCTTAGTCATGAGAGAAAGATAAAGTATGTATAATACGGATATGACTACATGATGAAGGAATAAGATAAAGGTATGTGGGAAATGCATACATACCTTCTTAGATTTCGTATTGTCTAAGCAGAGGATGCAGAAAGACATACCAGCATAGAAGACTTTGCAGTTTCCTAAATAATTCTGTACTATAGTCTGCCAAACAATATTGTTACGATTGTCCATTTTACTTTCTTCTCAGCTTTCTGAACCTGGATAATTATACATCGTATTGGGGTCCACCTGACCTTCGGAACTGTACAGGCAAGTGTTTTCTCTGTGTTCAAAATAATTTTGAAACATTATCATCATCTTTGGTTACTTGGCTCTGTAGCTTCTTTATGTACTTTGTTGAAGAAGTGTGGGATATGTATCAGGTGTCTTGCTAAACACTAAAGCAGGACAGAGCATATGTGGTCCTCCAGAAAATTTTAGATTGTTGCTCCCATAATCCTTCACCATTGATTATGATGTCTAGGACTGCTGGGACTTGTAGGCCAGAAAAAAAACTTGAAAGAGCAGAATAACCTGTTCCTGGACTAAATCTACACTTGAGTTCAAAGTTAGATGTGTGTGTGTATGATCAGTAAACGCAAATAATCGTCATTGTTTGTTGGCTAATGTTTCAGTCCCTCTAATTTCCTCTTGAGAAGATTGTAATTGACTGCAGATTGACAATTTAAATCATAATGAAAGCCCAACTTCTGTTCCTCTCAGAAGATTGTAATATCCTGTGTTCATTATAGAAGAAATGGGCAACACACAGTCCAATGGCCTTACAAGCTACTCCACTCCTTTGCTGCGGTTTCAACTGCACATAAAACTCTATATTCCTGAATTAGCAGTAGCTTTATTCTTCTATTTTCTATTCCTGCTACTTCAAAAAGACTCTGTTGTAAAAGATAATGCTCTCTATCAATGATTTCTTGCAGCTTCTGTCAAATTTTGAGAGCAACTGTGGCTTTAATACCATTCAGCAGCACAAGACTTAATGATGTTAAGTTCCCAGTAGATTTCAGAGTGTCCAGTGTAGGATCGTATCCCATTTTGACAATATGTCAGACTTCTAGATTAAGTTCACTTGAAAATAATTTTATCTTCCAGAACTTCAAATTGTTTTATTTTATTTTATTTTGCATGTCTCCCTTTAGAAAATGCAGCAGATATAGCCAATCAGCTTCTCAATCTCACGGGAGAAGGGCAGCAGCTGACTTCAGACAAAGTCAATGATGTCATCCAGAAACTTAAAAAGATTGTTAATGATGAAGAAATCAATGAATCCTTGGGTTCTACTGTAGTCACAATATTTTCTAATATTCTAACCAGTTCTGATAGTGTTTTGGCAGCATCATCTTCTGAGTAAGTGTTTCTGGAAAAAAAATAAAGAGAAAATACATTGTTTACCAAAATATTTGTCTTTCATTTAACTGTTATTTTAATTGTAGAAATAAGTGAGATGAATAAAGTGCTAAAACCAAACACAAAGAATTCATGGCTTTTACAATAAATCAATTATTCTGATCTTAAAATAGTATTTATCTTTGAATATAGGTGTTAGGAAAAATCAGAATAAAATGCTCAAAATCAGTATTTGCTATAATTGCATGGATAACATACATTCAGTTCACAGAGGAAAAACAGAAGCTCGGTTTTTAAATGAATTAAAGAATCCTGACTAAGAGAGAGTGTAGTTAGAAGGAGCATGTGCCAAAAGGAGATCCAAAAAGAGTCATCATGATGCTTTTATATATTGTCTCTCAGCCTGTCTATAATAAAAATGCTGGTGCTGCTGAAGTAGGCCATGGATGAATACAGCTAAATCAGTAGTAGTAATTTGAGTATCATTGCTAATGGATGAAAGAGACCAAAAAAAATGGGCAATACCCGTTCATTTTAAAAACAACAAGGAAAATAGTTCAATACAATGCATTAAAATGCCTGTCATGTTGGGTTAAAAGGACAAGGAAGTAGAAAGGAGGCATTTTTCCTCCTCTCTTGCTTTTTTTTATGAAGGAACTGGTTATATCAGTCAGAGGAGGAGCTCACTAATTTTGAACTTCCTTGTCACCATTAAGGTGTTGTGTGTTGGTTGCATATGGGTTGTCCCAGGATGAAATTGTTTCTGGATTAGTTATATAGAGAACAGGTTTTTGTCCAAAAAAAACCCCTTTTTTCTACACAGAATAATTCATCAACACTTGGGGACATTCAAATATGTAGAGAAACTTGCACAAGCTTATCTCTGGCCTATTAACCTTCCGAGTGTGGTTTTCCATTTTTTTGGCCTGAGAAAAAACAATAATAAATGTTCCATCTCTAGTCTATCTTTCAGGATGTATTGGCAGGAAAATGAATGGCAAAACAAAATGTACCACGTGCTGAATACTTGCAGAGGTTTTTTCTCACTGTCATGATGTTTATCGAATTATTTCAATGAAGATAGATAGGTGAATAATCATGTTCTGCTTGATTTTAGAGCTATAAAAACCATTGATGCTTTAGCACTGAAGATTCAGTTTACAGGACCTTCCATGAGCATCTCAGCAAAAAACTTGGCACTTGGTGTTTCCTCACTTAATTCAACCTTGTTCAATGGCTCTTCCTTCAGTGTTGGCCCCCAGAACAATGCTTCAGATTTTCAGGTACAGCAAATACATCAACATATAACTATATAAACTTGCAAAATTGTCTGCAATGGTTCAGCTCAAAATTTAATACTGTTTTTGGCAAAGTATCTCTCCTAGATTGTACTGCGCTGTATTGTCCTGTTTGGTTGTCAGTTGTAGATAAAATGAGAAACCTATTATGTGATTCCAGAACATCCAGCCTAACACATCTATTGTATAAATAAGGCTATCTTAATCTTTCAGAAATTGTATCTGATGAAGTTTGTTTTGAAGAAGCATTTTGATAAACTTAGCCTGAACATTCAATGTCATCTTCTATCTCATGTACAGTAAAATTTCAATCATTTTCAGTCAGAACCAAAACAAGAAGAACTGATCATTGTTATTCACATATCTGAGAGTATATGAATATTCAAGCAAGAAACAGATTATTCTGTTTTGCTCAAGTTATGTCTGGGCTGCAAAATTAAAATATTTTTAATTATTAGAGCACCAATGTTTATATGGCAATATTTACTATGTAACTAGAATATTAGATATATATTAATATTCTACATTAGATTATTACGTATATTATTTTAATAGTGATATATCATTTTGAGCTCCTGGATTGCTAATCAAAAAACCTCTATGTATCGGGAAGTGTCTCACAGAGTATTATGCATGCCACGAGGGCATGTTTTTATAAATGAAAACATGTTTTATTGTTTTGGGGTAATTACATTGGTGACCCACTTGCCATTTAGAAAAGGAAATGTCAAAGGGAATTTATGAGAAGAAAACAAGAAATAGGAAATGCTAAAATATAAGATGAGAAGCACCATAGCCTAAGATTTTTTTCAGTTAATTTTATGGAGTGTACATTTTGTTATGGTTTATTATTGTTTGAATACCATTTGGGAAAGATAACCCAAAATGTAATCATCACCAGGAATTTTCTTTTTCAGTACTCCTTTGAGGCTTTGCACTTTTTTTTGTTTGTGAGAGTACTAAGTATAAAAAGAGCATTAAAAATTAAGAAAAATGCAACAGTAAAACACAATAGCTAGACTAACATAATGCAACCTAGGCAACAGGAGAATAAAACATATGCTCAAACTGGAGGAAAAGTTTAATTCACTTATCTTCAAATTTTGTGACAGAAAGAAATTATTATGTTCTTGAGAATTGTTAGTTATTAAAATAAATGATTTAGTCAGTAATTTATTTATTGACTAAATAATTATGCATTTATATATATCTTCGTGATTCCATGTGGATAAGATATTTTTTATCTTATGCAATTTTATTAATATTCCAGATTGATTTTGACAAAAATCAAGAGAATTCCCTGGCCTCTGTAGTTTTGCCTGAAAGCTTGCTAAAGAATTTAAGCCAAGAAGATCTTGAAACTGTATCCAGGGCTCAGTTTACTTTTTTCAATAAAAGTGGACTCTTCCAGGTAAATATGGGCACACTCAATTCAATACTGGGATTAGTATGATGAGTTATTTAAAAATAATATGATGAGAATAAGTATTCTGTAGTTCATCTTCTTGATACCAGTGAGATTGTTGATTTTGATCTGTTTGGCTCTCTGTAGTGTAATAGAAGGAAGAGAATAGTGACAATTTGGTGTCTGGGGAAAAAAAGTAACACTCTCTTAGAGGCTCTGAGAATTACCAAGAAACAGGGCTCAAATTCGTGTGAATGGATGTATCCAACTATACAGTTGTATCTGTCAGAACTCTTTGAAAGCCAAACTAGACATACCACAAATTGTGTGGATACATAATAAGTTATTATAGCATACTGATTTTTAAAACTGTCAACTGGTCAGTGGGGGCTGAGTAACAATATGACCGCAGAAGATGAAAAGGTAGAATTTAACCTTCATATATGGAAGCAAATTGTTTTTCTACTCCAGATATACATTTGCCTTGTGGACCATACAGAGAGGAAGTAAATTATATGACAGTGATGGATAAACTGTAAATAAAGGGCCACATATACCCTCTCAGCTATTTTTTGGTCCAACACCCCAGGAAAAGATAAAGTTCACGCTCCCATATTTTCCCCTAAAATTAGGGTAAATCATCTAACACAGTGGAATTTATTGAGTTGATTAACCTGCCAATTATCTGTCCATAGAAATGGACTAACATAGAAGAAGAAACCTAAGTTCTGCAGGCATTTCAAACATTTCCTTAGTCAATTGGAACAGGAAGTCTTTAATTTTCCATTTCAGCTGACACAGCCATTGTTTGCACATTGTCTCAGAATGTGCTAACTGAAAGGTCGTGGTTTCCCAGAGTTACACAAAATTAAAAGTTTTCTACAATGATATAGACTCACTCAATAATGAATGTGCCAAGATTGCAATCTGAGGTATGTTGGAGCTTAGGGAGTAGCCACTGCTGGGGCAGCCCCTATGAACCCGAAAGCTCTGTATTATTCAGAATGCGGCAGCCAGGGTACTCACAAGAACACCCATGAAATGCCATATAACTCCAGTGCTGCAGCATTTGCATTGGCTTCCAACTGATTACCGTGGTCTATATAAGATGCTAGTTCTGACCTTTAAAATTCTTTACGGCCAGGGTCCATCATACCTTAGGGACCGTCTCTCCTTCTCTCATCATCGGACTTACTTTATATACTAGGTCCTAGAGAAGTGCGCTTGGAAAGTACCAGACGCAGAGCTTTTTCCATTTCTGCCCCTACCTTATGGAATTCCTTGCCACCCTATATGAGAGCCATGTGTGATTTAGGGCCTTTTACCCTAGCACTTAAGACCTGGCTTTTTACTAGAGCTTTTGATCTATGTTAATTTTATCAATATCTGTATGTATGTATTTTTATCCTTTACAATTTAGCCTGTAAATCGCCTAGAGCATCTTGGATGGAGGGCGATTAATAAGTAATAAAATGATGATGATGATTTGTGTCAGGAACTGCCAGTGAGTTGTTCAAACCTTCTGGCACTCTGGTTTGTTGGTGCCTGGATGGTTTTCACTCTGGTTGAAGGGGCTGACAGAGCCTGGGTATAAGGGGCTGACAGAGCCCTGGCACAGCAGTTCCCTTTTGACAACAATTGGATTTGTTCACTTAATATCTGATCTGTTTTGACGGATGGGTAGTGGAAAGTTGAATCAGCTCAGTTTGCTCCCTCATAAAAATTATTATTATCTCTTAATAGATTTTATACTGAGATCTCTTGAAAATAAACCAAGTAAGGGCTAGGCCTAGACTATAATAATATTGCTTTATATATGAAGTAGAATTCTGATCTCATTGAATTCAATTAAATTTGAAAGTTTGTGGGATGATATTTTCTTAAAAACACAATTTTGCAGATATATTAATTGTCTTTATTCTGTTTCTTTCAAAATTATTTATTTATTTATTATTTATTTACTTTATTTCTCAGCCCTTAGGCGACTCAAAGCAGTTTACATAATACAAATTATCACAAGACAGTATCATAGGCAGATTAAAACACATTATACATTCTACATAACAATCAATATCAATAGACAATCATTATCATAGCGCCTCAACAACAAATCAGAATCCATTCTCGTAATCCTTTGTTCCATATTCCTATGTACGATTGCACCGTGTTCCTATATTCCATTGCACTGATTAGCCAAACGCTTGTTCAAAGAGCCAGGTCTTCACCTTCCTCCGGAACGCCAACAGCGAAGGGACCTGTCTGATGTCTGCAGGTAGGGCATTCCACAGCCGAGGGGCCACCACCGAGAAGGCCCTGTCTCTCGTCCCCGCCAGGTGCGCCTGTGATGCAGGCGGGACCGAGAGCAGGGCCTCCCCAGATGATCTTAATGTCCTAATGCTAATAAGATATCCTGAGTTTAAGAAGATTATTAGTGACAAAATATTCTTTTATTCCACTACATGCTCAATAAAAAGCTTTGTTGTTTTTTTAGTGAACAGCATGTTTTCTATAAATTATTTCTACTGACCTTTGTCTTCAATGCATTCACAAACTCTGCAGCCTTGTACATGCATATATTGTACTTTTTATTAGTACTGTGAGTCGATATGAAGCATAATCCTGCTTGGCAGATTGCCATGATCCTCCACCACCTTCTTAAATACGCCCAACCATATCTGTAGAATCTCTAGTTCCAGCGTTTAAAAAATTCCTTTCTAATGACCACAAGAAAGCTTACAACAGACCGGAAAATCAGAGGGAGATAGCAGTTAGGAAATAATTGTCATGTTGTGGTGACACATTATTCATTCAGGGAGTAACTCTGAACTCTTGAGAAAACCAGCCCAATGACTGGAGTGTGCTGCAAATTTTCTTGTCTATGGGAGAAAGAATTAGCCGCCTTTCTAGTGCCCTATGCTACCTCTAGTTTGCACAACAAAATAGATCCCTCTCCCTTCAAAAGCCCTAGAGCTGACTTACTTATTTTTACTTCTCATTAGTATCAGTAAGAAGCATTTTTCTTTACAGCAAAAGGAGCAGACAACCTATTGTGACAGTCAAAAACTAGTGGGGCTTAAGGGAGTGGCATTTTTCTCTATGCATAATCTTTCAACACATTACTTTAAAGTTGTTCTGTCTGTAACTGGGGCTTCCATAATACAATCAATACTTGTTATTAAGTGATCTTCATATTTGTTTTTGGTAATGAGTACAAGTTTCAGTTAATGATTAAAAATGACAGCCTTATAATTGATCTGTCTCTCCTCTGACTCAGTAGCTCTAAGCTAAACAAAATGTTACTTTATCTGTATATATGATTTTATTGTCAATTTGGTTTTATTGTTTTATCACTGACATGTAAAAAGACAGAATTAGAAGTGTGAGGAATAAGAGAAGGTTAAGAGTGCTCCAGATTTGCACAACATTTTAGAGTCAGTTCTGTGAAGGATTCTTTCTAGGCTTTTCATATATCCCATATTGTTTGGCAACAAATTAGTTTCAGTATTTTTTGCAAAGTATACTTCTACTTAGTCTGAAAATTGAACTATAAAGTAGTGATAAAATGCATGACCAGGCCATTTGTGTATTCTTTTAAAGCACCGTGCCTTGTTTGGAGAAGGTTAGAGCTAACACTCAAGGAAAAAGAAAGGCCACTTTGATCCTAGCTATGGTTGGTCTCAGCCTCTGAGAGTTCACATCTTGGGAGAAGAACCTTTTTTTTTCCATTCCTGTCCAATACTGAATTACTGTTTAGCAGAACATTACTAGGCATTAGCAAGCCTCAGAATGGTGTATTCCACCCTCTCTTTCTCAAGTACAGCTATCACAAAGGGTTTGGTAACCTCCACTATCATTTGTAAACTAATTCATGATTTTCTATTTGATCTAAACTCAGCTGAAACATTGTTTTTATTAATATAAATGTATTAATATTTATTAATATTTATTTGCATTGTTCAGACAAGCTGAATCAAACTGTGGGTTACGTGGGGAAATTCCTCCTATATTTATTATAGTATTTATAAATCGCTTCTCCTCAAAATCATTTTGGAGTAATTGTACAAAACACAAAAAATAAAACCATTGCAGTATAAACAAATACATACATGTAAACCAGGGGTATGCAGAGATAGGAGACTGTGTTGGCTGTCACAGAATTGCAGTTGTCCAACTGCTTCCATTTTATGCAAGACTACTGAGGTGCTGGGGACCCTTAGGAACCTTAAAAGAAGCCCTGGGGTCTTCCATTAATATGAAAGCATTCCAAAAAGGAAACTGTTTTCACTGTTTTGTATCAGGGACACCATTTTACTATGCCATTGTATATAATAGGACTTCACCATCTATGGATATTGGTATTCATGGGGTCCTGGAACCAAACCCCAGTAGATACCAAAGATCTAGTGCACCTGAGGTATACAGAGAAACTTTTCTTGAATGGGAATTGGAAAGCTTACCTACATTTTCTGTTGGCACTCATTAACAGGGATATAAATATTTGCTTATTTTACTGTTGCTGATGAGGTATAAAATGTTTTTCCCATGCTGAGGAGATTACAAAAGGGTTTCTGCACATTTTTAATTATTTTGCACATTTCAGGTCCTTCGTATTGACATGGCATTTTTGCTACAAAATATAACTTGCTTGAATAAAATAACCATTTTGGACAGAAATAGTTCTGGTATGAATGTGCAAAAACAACATTTTTTGTGTTAAAATCAACCATTTTTTGCTATTACTGCTGCTGGCTAGGGGAAGCAGGACAGGAACAACAACGTTGCTCTTGTGATACAGTAAATAAAATATATTCTCATAGTAGTAATTTATTTCTTAAATTAGTTTTTTTTGTTTTTTGTCCATGAGATTATGAAACAAATGTAAAAAAAACAATTTAGATCCCTAATTGTTATATGTTAGCATGTTTTATGGAGCAACTGTGCTGTTACTTGTAGTGCCAAAAATGAAGATAATCTTCTTCCCCTGGAGAAAGTGTTGTTAATAAGATAAGAAAACTGTGACATTCTTGGTTTCGGAAGTGATCTAATTAAGTCAGAACTAGATATCAATCAGCATTGTTTGAGTGTTAACTCTGGTTTACCTCACAAAAAGTAGCTGAGACAGAAGTTTTCTAGAAACAGCCATACAAGCTGTCCTTATAACACTATATGTTACGATAATAAGGGAAATAAAAAACATTATCCAAGGGAAAGCAGCCATTTAATGTTATAAACAGGATGTTCTTATAATGGGTGTTCTTAAATGTTAATGTGCTGACAACTTATTTATTCTGGCAACATGTAGAAACAAAACCATTTACCTCTTGAAGGACTCAACACAATATTTTTTTCCTGCTAACTTTTAAAATTAATTTTTAAAGGATGCTGGCAGTAACACCAGTTTAATCAGTTATGTGGTAGCATGCAGCATTGGCAATATTACCATCCGTGATCTCCAAGATTCTGTAAAGATTACAATTAAGCATGCCGTTAAGAATGACAAAAGCCAGGTAAGAAATCTGGATTCTTGGTTTGGTATTAATAGATTAGTAATATTGTCCAAAAGCCATGTGGCATTAAAATGGAAGAAAATTCACCCCGCTGCTAGTATCTTTTTCTTTCCCTCTGAAGTGAAGATACAATATTTTTGCCTAAAGCTTGCCATGGAAAAGTATGTTTGTCTTCAAAAATTATTGTTTCACAGAATTCAGGTGAACACACCCTGAGTTATGCTATTTCGGTGTTGGCAGACCAATGAGAAACATGCCAGAAGGGCATGCAGCACCCTCTCTCCTGGCATACATGCTGTCATTTGCCCCGTACTCTCCCACCCTGCTTGCTCACCCATTCGCCATCCTGCCTCTGCTTGCCCACTTATTTTCCCACTCCCTGCTCACTCTATCACCTCCTTTACCCCCAGTTGCCCACCCATTCCTTCCGCTTGTTTGCCTGCTTGCCCACCCCCCACTCACTCATACATACCTTGCTCATTCACTCACTCACCCACCATTGCACCAATAAACATAAACTCTCATTTAACATCATATATAGTCAGGCCCTCCTTACCTTCTCTGATTCCTAATTCAAATAACTTAAACCATGAACTGAAAAACACATAAATGAAGACTTTTAACCCAATGTTTTATAAGATTTCATTAATTTAATAATGCTGTGTCTTCAGTAACAGAGGTACAATATTTACAAATCCTTTTTTTCATTCTTGCATGTGTAAATATTTAGAAGACATCTAACCCTACCTGTGCTTTTTGGGATATGAACAAAAACAGTAAGTATGAGCTTGCCCTTATTTCGTATTTGGGAAAAAATATGGCAATTGTTACTTTTGAAATCTTTTTTGATTGAAATCCTGTTAGTGTCATATGAAGATGTTATCTGGGATTGTGTGTGTGTGTGTGTGTGTGTTAAATGTGTAGTGCAAGAAAGAATCTAGTACTGCCATATACAATGGTTCCCTTTCCAAGTCTGGGTTGAAGGTTTGGTTATTTATTGGCCAGGGATAAGACCTGGCAGTATCTGACTACAATTGGAAGAAAAGATCAGCTGTTACCCCCCCCCCCATGCTTCCAGTGAAGGCACTGGAAATTGAGAAAAGCAAGTACTGCCATTTCCTCCACACCCTCCCCATCCTCTACATGGGCATGGCAGTATGATAGGTCACTAGGAAACTACTTTATCCAAGCATGGGTACAGTCATCCATTAGAGTTGTATGAGCAAAGCATAGGATCTTGGCCTTTATTGAATACAGTTAGCTGTATGCCAATATATATACCCCAACCCTAACTACAGTGTAATGATAGAGGGGGGTGGGGCAATAAATCAGTCAGTAAGATATGGACAAATACCCATTCAGATGGTCTGTTCCTGTATGCCATATTTTAAGAGATCTTTTGATTATTTTCCTGCTCACATATTGACAGCCCTCTTAATCAGTCTCCACAGATGGGAACTAGATTGTGGTATAAACATGGTTGACACTGAGTATATTCTCCCATATTCTTTCAAACTTCAAGTAGCTGCTAAAGTTTTTTTTTTATTTCAATGCCTGATTTTATAATTTTCTGGTTGCTTAGTAATCCATTTTTATATTTTGGACTAAAACATATTTGTGTTGTCAGTAGCACTGGTATTTTATTCCACTACTAACTGCCTCCTTCAATTCATTGCTTCCCTCTGTGATAATGAACACCAGTCTTCTGTAACGGGTTTATAAGAACTGTAGGACAGAGTGAGGATTACCCCACCACATTAGCCTGTGACTCTTTCATATTGTTTCATTTTGTGTCCTTATAATTTGTGTTCATTACTTTACATACATTGTGATTGAAAAATCAGAGTCTTCATCATCACCATCATTTCTGTTTCTTGATTTCAATAGAGGGCCAAGGAGGATGGAATAAAACAGGTTGTACTCTACAAGCAGCATCCAGTGAGGATGAAACAGTTTGCTTATGCTCACATCTTACACACTTTGGTGTACTGATGGTAAGTGAGAGTTCTATTCAGAAGATTTGTTTAGGAAATGAAGAAATATTTTTTCCACTTGACATCTTTACTGACTTAATTGGTATATATGGAAGAGCTATGATAAAACGTGAGACTGGATTTCCCCATTCCTGTTTTTGATTTCCAACCAGATATTAAAGTCATCAGATTAAATGTCTGGTTTCCACATGCATAGTAGTATATTAGATCTTTTCACATCTTGCTTGAATTTAAATATGACAAAAATCACAAGCCCTTCTGTTCCCCCTTTAAGCTTGTTCTGTTCCACTTGAACATATTTGTGGGAAAAGGCCCATTTAAATTCAATGTGTTCTTTCTCCTGCTGTGAGTTCTTTTGTGGGGGATTCGGAAGCGAGGAGAAAGTATTTGGAATCCTGGCAGTGCTCCAGTCAGAGAGTTATAATATTTCCTGGCTTCCTAAATTGCAGAGTTCTTTTCCCTCCAGGGTTCTTATTTACATTTAGAAACAATGGCTCCAGTTAGCAACGATTAGTGTGTGAAGAAATGTACGCACCTTCTCAATCTACACCTAAACATTTTACAAATAGAAAAAAGACATGATGTTATGGATCAGCAACACCTCTTTAAAGGTTGGTTGTTTCTGTGCAGGCAGGCTTTTCCTCTCTTTCAAACTGACAGTGCTGAACACTGTTCACAGGAAAGCTCCTTGGCATGTATGAAGGCACATGGTACTCATTAGTGTGATCAATAAGTGAGTTCACTTCCTTTAATTAATTATTTGGATTAGAATAATATTTCCCAAGTAAATGGTGGTTCATAGGTACCATGAACTGCTTATAGGGAGAAAGGAAGGTGCCCAATATTTAAATAAATAAGGTGCAAGGCTCATAGAATGTTAGATTTTACATCTTAGAAATTACTGAAGTTGCAATCCCATATACTATATATATTGTTGAAGTCAACAGAACTTACTACTAAACAGATGTTTCCCAAATGGCACTATCAGAAACAAAACTTCCATTTCTCAGTGTTTTATATTTAAGTAAAGAATATAATGGTGTTGTTGTTTTTTGGGTCTTTTATAACTTATCTATGGTAATTATACAGTTGAGCATCTCTATTCCAGAATTCTGGAATTCAAAATACTCCACACTTGTCTACATGGATGGCTGAGACAATGATAACTTTTTTCTGATGGTTCAGTGCACACATACTTTGTTTTATGTACAAAATTAATCAAAAATTGTATACAATTTGCTTCGGGTTATGTGCATAAGATATGTGTTCCCATCTCCAATATATCTCATGATGTGTGTACATAATGCAAATACATGTATTCCAAATTCTGAAAAAGTCCAAAATCCAAAACACTTTCTGGTCTCAAACAGATTAAGGAATACTTAACCTGCACTGATCAGAATGGTAGGCAGAAAACAGAACCTTCTTTGCTATTCTGTTTGCTTTCTTTCCTGTTTGTTTCTTTGTTTACAGGATGTATGAATCACTTTATTGCTTGAAAAACCAAGTAAAGTGACTTGCAGCTTTCAAAATAATTTCTTAATAGAGCACTGAAAAAGTAAAAATCTAAACCATCTTTTCTGAACTGATAGGCATAAGAGAAAGAGAAATGATTGTAGATAATGTTTAGGTTTTAAGAACCAAGCTCCTTACTTAACAGGCTTTTGCTAGTTTTCTTGTTTATTTAGAAGAGAAAAACAGATCTTCATTAGCATTCTAGTGTTGGCATTGTCTAACAGCAAAGCACACACCTAGCTGGTTCATGAAAGGATTCTCAAAGTGGCAGGATTATGCAGAACGAGCACCGTCATGTTGCAATAGGTGATGAAGAAACGGATGAGTCAACTTTGAGCACAGACCAATATAAAAAGTGCCATAGAGGCTTGCCATTTAGCACAGGGACTATACAGTAGGTGTGTCTGCAAAACCTTACACAATTAGTTTATGTGTGGCAAGGGAAAACAGTCATTGAAAGAAGAATTGTGTTTTCCCAACCAAAACCAAACCATATTTGGGGCTGAGAGCAAAAAACATTTTTACCATTACAGGGGTGCTAGATGAGAGTTGTGAGGAAAAATAACTGAGATTATAGGAAGAATTAAATCACAGAAAACCTGAAAGGAAGATGAAAAGCCGTTCCTTGGCAGCAGCTTCCTGAAGTGGAGCACTGGGATCCAGCAGGAAATCTGTTTGTGTGAGAATTGTGTGAGAATTGGAAATCATCTACGAGCTAAGCATATTAAATATCCCACCATACACTGTCTCCTCACTGAAAATGGATCCAACACCGAGAAAAAGAGTTAATCCACTGTTGTCATTTTTACTCAGAACCTAACAAGCAGAAACTGGGGGAGTGCTAATTTAATGTACCTTCAAATTGATCCTGTCAGATGATTGTCTTGGAAATATTTATCTAGAAGAGGTTTCCCATTGCTTTCCTCAAAGGCTGGAGTACTGTGTTCACAAGAGAGAAAGCATCAAGAGCATCGGGTCTTTTAAAGAAATGTGAAATTGCAAGTAGAGGGATTTCACATTATTGAAAACAATTTGATGAAATCATATGAATAATAGAGGCTTATATTCCAGCTGTTACACTACTTACCTCTGCATTTTCTCAGGAATTTTAGGAAGGAAACCAGAGGTGTGACAGCTATGTACTAAATATATCAAGTATGTTTCTAGCCAACTTTTCTGGAGTTTTCACCAGTGTTGTTGTCAGAAAATGAAAACAGGCTTCTCCAAAATGTATTTCCAGCAGTATATATCTCTTTTTCACTTTGTGTATAGGACCTACCAGGAACTGCTCCACAAATAGATCCTGAAAACACCAAAGTACTAACATTCATAACATACATTGGTTGTGGAATATCTGCCATATTTTCAGCTGCAACTCTTCTGACATATATTGCTTTTGAGTAAGTATTTGCTCTGCCATTACAGATTATGTCATTGTTTTCATTATACTATTTTTTCAGTGTCTCCATTTCCTAAAATAGAAATTTAAAAGTCAGATTATGGCAAGTAGATACAAGTGAGTTGTCAGTTTATGTATCATGCATTTAAAAGATAATCCGCCTAAATGTATTATGGACCACCCTTGCATTGTCTCTGCCTCTCTTTGGAGCTCCTTGCAAAAATCCAGCCATTACAGTTGTATCTTCTGAGTTCAGAATGGGGTATCTGCACAATCAATAAGTCAAGGGTAATCATTGTGCCTCTAACAATGAGGACATGGCCAGACATTTCTCAGGGCGGGGCTTTAGCACAGCTGGTAAATCACCAGCAGTGATAAGATCTACCAACCGAAAGGTTGCCAGTTTGAAGCCCTGGATTGGTGTGAGCACCCAATGCTCAGCCCAGATCACTCCTTAGCTAAGCAGTTTGAAAACAGCTTAGAGTAGTGAGTAAAGAAATTAGGTACCACTAAAAATCAGGGGAGGTATTTTATGACACCTTAAAAATAAAAAGATCAGAAAATGCCTGGCAACCAAAAGGAAGGAGGAAGTCCTGATGGCTCTTCAACATAGAAGATGGAACAACAGCACCCCCTGTGGTTGGATTCAAGCACAACCTCCATGGCACCAAAAAGCTGGACGTCAACACAATATACCTCCTTTCTGTCTGCCATTGTCCTGTCTGTCCAAACGGCATTGAATGTTTGCTGTGTATGTGTACTGTGATCAGCCCTGAGTCCCCTTAGGGAAATAGGACAGAATATGTTGTTGTTGTTGTTGTTGTCTTGCATTTTCACTGCCTCAAGTGCTTTACTATAACCTGTTAGGGGGTGGCTTTGCATGCTTGGGGTGGGGGGAGGGGAATACCACCCCCCACAGTGCCTAAAAAGGACATCTACATGCACAAGGGACAATTACACATGTGTATGTCCCTAGCCAATTTCAAGCCAAAGTTACGTATTACTTGTAGTTTTCATATAGTAGTACCCAGTTGCATAGAATTTATATGATGCTTTGATAGAGGTCATGAGTACCTGCAGTTTGCAGAACCAAAACCTTGTTCTGAAGTGAAATTGTTCTTGTGAAGATATATGGATTTGGGAATAATGTGTGATGGTGATTTGGAAAAAAAGAGTTAAGCACACTGATGGGTATCAGGCTTTTCTGTAGTAAACAGTGCACCTATTGTGTCCCAAAGAGTTGGTCTCTATAATGTGTAAGTCATGCTTAGTTGTATAATATAATATTTTCTTTCCATTTATAACTAGAAAATTACGAAGAGATTATCCCTCCAAAATCCTAATGAATTTGAGCACAGCATTGCTTTGCCTAAACTTGGCCTTCCTCCTCGATGGCTGGATTGCATCATTTGACATAGAAGGTCTCTGCATCGCTATTGCTGCCCTTTTGCATTATTTCCTTCTAGCAACTTTTACCTGGATGGGATTGGAAGCAGTTCACATGTATATAGCTCTAGTGAAAGTGTTCAATACATACATTCGGCGATATATACTAAAATTTTGCATCATTGGCTGGGGTAAGTACTAATTTTACAACCTACATTTTCCAGTTAGTTGGTCTCATTGCTTAAATTTCAGCATAACTTAAAATTACTACTCAAACAAAATTCGGAGCTATTTAATGTAAATGTATACTTCGAATAAGTATTTTTCAACCTTGCCCATTTCCTTTTACCACCTTCTTTTTTTCTTTTTTAACTATATACAACATTTTATAGATGAAAATTCAGTAAAATTAGCATGGTACAAGCATTTTAATACATTTTTGATGATTTTTACACTTCTGGTTTATTTTTTCTTTGAAATCTGTTTGCGCAAAAAACATTATTGCAGAGAACTGTATATTTGCGGAAAAATACACATTTTTGTGTAATATACTGTTGTGTGTGTGTGTGTGTGTATCTCCTGAATTACTCATGTAATTATTATCTATTTTCTAAATATATTAACTCAGATAGAGTTCCAGGAGAGTTGGTTATGTGGGAGTTTTTTCATTACTCAACATGTAATTTTAAAGCATTGGAAATTTCACTTAATTTGGAATAGTTGGATCTAGGAGAAAAATGTTCTAAAAATGTTGGAATATAAATTGGAAGCTTAGTTTGAATACAAAAAGAAATGTTCTGCCATAAGGATATCATAGTTTTCTCCTTCCTCATCTGCAGCCTCTCAAAGACAAGAGGAAGTTGCAGATGGAAAAAGAAACCATCTTGCAGATTCCTTGTATTCAAGGCATACGTTTTTGATTAGGATGAATAGTTCTATTTATGGGAGGTATTACTTGCTTGCTTTGTTTAACAAATAATAATTACTCTGGTAGAAGGATGGTTAGGGACCTTGGGATCCTTCTTCCATTACTCAGGTACATATGGGGGTTTCAGTGTTTTTATGTTAATTCTTCTCAAGAGTGTCTTTTCAAATTCTGGATTAGGAGGGAGTAGGGGAAGAAGTAATTGGAAATCATATATTCCTCCTAAGAGAGAGGGAAAAATTGAGCTTTCGAATCTTGAGGAAATAATAAGGTACCATAACATTTTATATCACTTATTTTATAAAGATAAATTCTGTTAACATAGACTACTTTTGCCTGCAGCCCTAAATCATTTAATCTTATAGAATGGGAAATCTTTCATTAATAAAGCAAAAGCAACATTACCTATTGAACCATCACAAAAACAACACTATGCAGTGGATCGTGTCACATTTTTCCCCAATCTCTGCTTATTGGAAGTCATTCAGAAAACCACTATCTGATGGGCCCACCCTCTTCTATGAGAGTTATCTAGGGCAACACACAGAATCAGGGTCCCTGTAACAATTCTCTCTTGTGCTGCAGATCACTTGCATAATATGGAGGGGGGGGGGGCATGGGATTAGAAATGCTGACTGGCAGCTTCCCTGTTGACTGAAGAACAACTTAAAATTGTTGTCAATCACTGCAGGTGCTGTCTAGTTAGTGGGTGTTGGGGAATTTTCACATCCCTTCATAGTCCCTAAATTATAAGGATTACAAATATGAAACAGTTGAAGTGGTAATTGTAGGTTACATATTTGTAACTGTCATAAAAAAATCCATCCTTTATATCTGAGTCCACTTCTTGGGCACTATGTTTGGATTTCAAAAACATACACTTTTACTTTTTTTCAAGGAGGGGCTAATTTTCACTTTAAACCCTTCTGCACTAGAAGGCAATTTGGACCAATGTCTGTTCCATTCATAAAACAAGGCACCCATTCACTTTTTATGCTTCTGAAACTTTGGGCTTCTGGAAAGAAATGTAAGAGCTTGAATGGAACTGTTGTGTGCAAAATAATTAAAACCAACACAAAACCATAAATCAAGTGGGTACAACAACTACCTAATTTAAAATTAGATGTCATGTAATTGTCTTTGTTATTGGCCTCCATTACTAAATTATTTCCAAAAAGAACAAGCAATAAATATTCTGGAACAGAGTGACAGGAATCATTTCATTAACAGTGGGGCAAATCTACATACTTCTGACCATAGGCGGGCTGGAATGTAATGTTCTGTAACATTATGTAAAAGTCTGATCCTTCTTTCCAGTAGAAAACTTGGGAGGTCCTGTGTGTGTTAAACTGGCAGAGAAAGAAGACCACCCACAGTGGTTTCAGCATATCCATATTAATATATATGTTTATATACAGTTGCAAGTTACCTTTTGATAGGCTTTTGCCTATCTGTAACTAATTACACATAGAAGCCACAGCTATATAATGTAAAACATTGGCAGTTACAATTAATGTCTGAATCAGAGCATAAGTGGGGTTACATATGTGGATGCTGACAGGATGGCATGATTTGTTATTGTTAACCATCACTTAAATGTGTATATGGATAAATATAAAATGGCATTTTAAATATTGCAAAGGGATTTTTAAAAGGTTATTGCTGTATAATTTATTTTTTTTCTGTTTGAAAGACTAGTGTTGTGGTTTAGCACTGCAGTTTTTGTGTACTTTCATGTTGATGTTTTCTCTTATCACAGGCTTGCCTGGAGTTGTTATAATCATTGTTCTAGCAAGCACAAATGCAAACGCAAGTCGCATTTACAACAAGGATTTGTATGGCAAAAATACTAAAGGGCAAGGTGGAGATGAATTGTAAGTATCATGCATCAGGCTTTTTTGTAAAAAAAATCTAGTGCGTGTTTATGGCTTCATGCATTTATGTGTATCCCTGGTTCCACCTGAGAATGAAAGAGCTCAGCCGTGTCAGAATGTAACAGTTTTTAAGTGACATAAGGAAACCTGTATCATTGCCGCAACAGAATATACTCAGCATGGCATAGTCTTAGAAACAGAGACTGAGACAAGACTTCCTCTGAGCAACTCTTCATATAAACTGAAGCATCAGGGACTAATATTTTAGCAATAGATCTGCAAAATTTAGAACTTACACTTCACATCCAATTGATGTTGTCATTGCTACATGTTTACAGCTTGTGGGTAGCTGGCTCTTGTGCTGCTACAGTAGTATCTGCAGGGAAATTGGAAACCACGTGGAACAGGTAGATAACATAATTACTCCTCAAACCACCATCATTCTGGGACCCTGCCCTAAAGATGTAGTAGACATATTACAATGACTATATATGCATCATCTAACAGTAATGAAAATAAAGTGGGCTACCAGTTTAATACACAGGACTAACCAAAATTGGGTGCTTTCTTTACAGCTGTTGGATTCAAGACAATACTGTATTTTATCTGACCTGCGTTGGATACTTTGGAGTCATGTTTCTCATGAATATTGCCATGTTTGTTGTTGTGATGATGCAAATATGTGGGAGAAATGGAAAACGGAGCAATCGGACTATGCGGGAAGAGATATTGAGGAATCTTCGTAGTGTTATTAGCTTGACCTTCCTCCTAGGAATGACATGGGGCTTTGCGTTTTTTGCCTGGGGGCCACTGTATCTTCCTTTTATGTATCTCTTTTGTATTTTCAACTCATTGCAAGGTAAGTGGAATTATGCCTTGATTTTTTAAAAGTTAAAGTGAACAGTAATCTAGAGATTAAAGAACCTTTGCCATGTGACATGTTACATACTACCAATACGTTCTTTTGTTTGTGTGTGATCTCAAGATGTAACTCCCACTGGGTTCAGTGGAATTCCTTTCCACATAATCGAGCATGCAGTATACATAGGATTGAACCCTAACAAAAGTATTATGATATATGTTGCTTTATAAGATTTAAGTGCCAGCTATCTAAGTATCATTACAGCACAAGTCCCATAATCCCTAAGCATTTGCCATGCTGGCTGACTTGAGAAATTAGAGTTGAATATTCAGAAGACCGTAGGCTTCCTTAAACAACCATAAGTCTTTGGTTTTTGTTTTGCAGCAAACACACATCGATATCTCTGATTACAGATGGTCAAATATGCAAAATTTTAGGAGGTCATTTTAAAATTTAGATTAATGCAGGGGATAAATACCAAATTTCACTAATTGTGATTGCAGCGTACATGCTCTTCTCTTCTACTTATCATGATTCTATACCACACAAAAATGGAGGTAGCACTTCCATTAATAGTTGCTCTGTTCAACACTGTAGTTTGGTAGTTCCTTTATCTGAAGGTACTTTACAGTTGAGAAAGATAAGATGAAGGAGGAAACTTTACACACTTCCCTCATTAGCCATTTTTTGTGTGAAATTCATTCCCTGGCATGCAATATTTCAATTTGTGGAAAAAAATATCTAGAACAGAAGAGAAATATAAAGAAGCAACTGAAACATCTTCCAGTACATTTCTTCTGATCCTTCCTTGCCTGAAAGTATCTTTTCCCAAGGTCTCTTTGCAAATAGATGTTAATAGTATTATTACATGTGGTTACAGTGTGCTGTGTTTTCTTCAGACTTTTGAGTAGTTGTTCCCAGATTTTGGTCTTCTAGATTTTTTTTTTACTTCAGCTTCCAAACTGGTTGGGACATCTGGGACCTGAAGTTCAAAACATTTAGATGAACAAAGTTCATCAAATCTCTTCTTAAATCTACCCCATCTCACAAAAGAGCCACTTCATGAGAGATCCCTTACAGTTGAAAGGATTTTTAAAAAATTACCTCTTATTGTAGGAGTTGTTTTGGGCTTCTCTGCTGTTTAAGTGCTGTTTCCTTTTGAGTATTCACCTGTTTATACTTCACTCTATTTCTTTAATTTAATCTATACCCATTTTTGAATATATGTTATTTCCTCTTGGTCCTACTGTAAAGGAATACTTCCATTATCTCAAATGTAGTTTAAAGCAGACAAATAGTTTTGTTTTAATGCTAAAAACCAAGTCTGCAAATTTGTTGCATTCATATGAGCTGTTCTTCAGAACTACTAGGAGGGTTATTTTTAATGGAGTTGCTTGCAGAGTGTTTGTGAGGAAGGATGTTAGAATCTGGGTTTGAATCCTGCAAGAACAGGAGAAAGAGGGTGTCTTGGCTGCTCACTCCTGCACCAGTGAGAGAAGCAGGTCAGAGAAGGAGGCTTTAAAACTGCTGTCTCCCATCTGCTCTTTCATCTGGTGCTGCTACTGCTCCTGGCTCCAGCGTTGTGTTGCTGCTCCAAGTTGTGTTGCTGCTCCTGTTGTGTGGCTGCTTCAGCATTTCATCTTGTGACTTGAAGTCGCTCTCGTTTATCTATCTGTGAAGCTGTTCTTTGGATACCTAATTTGTGAAGCGGTCCTTTAGTCGTGAAGCTGCTCTTTGATATCCGTTAATATCCTGTTAATACCTGTGAATATCTGTATCCAACCGTGGTGGAGCACCCCTACCCTAATTAGACTCCGGATTATACTGCGAAGCTGCTCGTGAGAACTCAGGGAGAGGGAGCTGCACCTCCAGACTGTAAAGCTGTTCTTTGAATATCTTTCTGTGAAGTCGCCCTTTGGCCTATGTTGTTGCTCCCTGGAGAACTATTGTGTAGCTGCTTTTTGTGAACACACTGTGTAGAGCTACTCCTTTAGGCTCGGAGCAGCCTGCTTGATTTCTATCTGTGAAACTGCTTTTCTGGTCTGTGAAGCTGTCTATTGATACCTATTTGTGAAGCGACCCCTAACTGTGAAGCTGCGCCTTAATCTTTGTTAATATCTGTTAATAGCTGTATCCAACGGTCAGCCATCACCTGACACCATACATCCTCGGCTTGCCAAGGGTCAGTCGTCCTTCCTCCATCCAATAGGAAACCTCTGCGGCTAGGGAATTAGATCTATCTGACTCACTTATTGTTTTTCAGCATTATCTCTGCGTTTTTAAATTGGTAGTGGATTTAATAGGGTGTAGTGTAATTGTAGACTGGGGCGGTTCTGATTCATCTAACTACTGGAAGATTACCAACAGCTGCAGGCTGTCCGAAGGCCATTAGTAGTGGCTAGTACCTCCCAAACTACTTTGTTTTTACAATTTGCACCTCCACTCAACTTTCCAATCTCCCCTACTTGGGCAAAGTCTTGGAACGTGTGGTGGCCTCGCAACTCCGGGAATTCCTGGTGGACACGGACTATCTAGATCCGGCACAGTCGGGCTTTAGGCCGGGACATGGTACTGAGACAGCCTTGGTCGCCTTAGTTGATGATCTGCGCCAGGAACTGGACAGGGGGAGTGTGTCCCTGTTGGTTCTACTGGACCTCTCTTCGGCCTTCGATACCGTCGACCACGGTATCCTTCTGGGACGCCTCGCGGAAATGGGTCTCGGGGGTACTGCCTTGCAGTGGCTCCGGTCCTTTCTCGAGGGTCGCTCCCAGAAGGTGTCACTAGGGGACTCCTGCTCGACTCCTCGGCCATTGCACTGTGGAGTCCCGCAGGGCTCAATACTGTCCCCTTTGTTGTTTAACATTTACATGAAGCCGCTGGGAGAGATCATCCAGAGTTTTGGGGTGCGATGTCATCTGTACACAGATGATGTCCAACTCTATCACTCTTTTCCACCTACCACTAAGGAGGCTGTTCAGGTCATGAACCGGTGCTTGGCCACTGTCTCGGACTGGATGAGGGACAACAGATTGAAACTAAATCCAGACAAGACAGAGGTACTCCTGGTCAGTCGTAAGACCGAACAGGGTACAGGGTTACAGCCTGTGCTGGACGGGGTCACACTCCCCCTAAAAGCTCAGGTACGCAGTCTGGGAGTTCTCCTGGATTCATCGCTGAGCCTGGAACCCCAGGTCTCAGCGGTGGTCAGGGGAGCTTTCGCACAATTAAAACTTGTGCGCCAGCTGCGTCCGTACCTTGGGAGGGCTGACTTGGCCACGGTAGTACACGCTTTGGTTACATCCCGCTTAGATTACTGCAACGCTCTCTACGTGGGGTTGCCTTTGAAGACTGCCCGGAAGCTGCAGCAAGTCCAACGCGCGGCAGCCAGATTACTAACGGGGGCTGGATACAGGGAGCACACCACTCCGCTGTTACGCCAGCTCCACTGGCTGCCAATTAGCTTCCGAGCACAATTCAAAGTGCTGGTGTTGACCTATAAAGCCCTAAACGACTCCGGCCCTGTTTACCTCTCCGAACGTATTCTCCCCTACGAACCATCAAGATTATTAAGATCATCTGGAGAGGCCCTGCTCTCAGTCCCACCAGCCTCGCAAGCGCGGCTGGTGGGGACGAGGGACAGGGCCTTCTCGGTGGTGGCCCCACGACTCTGGAACTCTCTCCCTCTGGAGGCCAGAACTGCCCCATCCATCCTAACATTTAGGAAACGGGTGAAGACGTGGCTGTGGAGTCAGGCCTTCGAGGAATGAGACAACACCATAGGACTCTGGATGGAAGTGGATATAGATCCATCTTATTAGGACGACTGACCACTGTAGTTTTATATTTAGTGTTTTTAAAGTTGTTTTGTAATTTGTGATATATGCTATTTTAATGAATGTATATGTTTTTATGGCTGTAAACCGGGCTGAGTCCCTCAACGAGGTTGAGAAGCTCGGTATACAAAACTGTGAAATAAATCAATAATAAATAATAAATAAAGTCCAATAGAATTATTAGATGGTGCTCACTGGAAATCTAGTGGTAGCTCCAAAACAAACACAACATTTACGGCTTTCCAAAGAATCCAACTCTCTTAGTAAGAAACAGGTTTCCAGTTTAGCAGATGGCATCTAGAAGCAGCATGTGTTGGTCATTTAGTTAGAAGCCTTAAAATAGAAAAATATTGATTACATATCTCTATATTTTTGAATGAATATATGATCTTATGTAAAAGAAACACCAATATTTGTGTATATCTTCTTTTTAAACAAGTGTGCTGCCATGTCATGCTTGTCTAAAAGTCTATCTCACCACCATAAGCTGTGACATTCTGCTATATGCTACTGTACCTGAGCTTCTTAATGGTGTGGCAGAGACTACATAGCAATTTCCATAGCAAATATACAGATAAAACACCTGATAGAAATCACTCAAATCAAATACCATCCCACTAGTAATATCAATAATATATGTGTCTTAGTTTCATGATTTATTTATTTATTTATTTCAGATCGAAAGCATTGTATAAATTAGTGAAAAACTGATAAAAATAGAAGGAGCACAATCAGCTAAATATCTTTTGACCAAAAACGGGCAACAGCAATGCCATTGGCTGCAGCCTCCAACTATTCTTCCTCTGTACATGAGGCAGGGCATGGTGGACAAGCAATCAGATGTGGAGTTGTCTGTTCTGTTCCACAGTCACACAAGTTGGGGGATTCTTTTAGGTAGTGCCATTTTATCAGTTTGTCTTTTGATCTGCCCACTCCACTTCTAAATCTGTTCAGGGTCTACCAAGTTGCCCATTCTTGGTTTGCCCCTGGAGGAAGACCCTCCTGGGGGCCATCCAATTGGGATTTCCTGGTTTATCTGCCCAAAAGGATACTCTTGCTGTTGCTGGGGGGACTTTAAGAAGGTGGTTCTCAGGAAGCTTTTCCTTGATTTGAGTCTACTGGGAGGAGGCTGATAACCATGCAGTGAATGGCTTTCACAGTGTTCAACCTTATTTCATTTTTCATGATGCTAAGCATTTATGCAAGTAGTGTGAATCTTATTGCTTCTCTCAGTCAATTTCAGATCAGTGTAGATGAGAAATACCCCATATGTTTTATAGTGTTGTTTATTTTCCTAAATATGCCTATATTTTATTTTTTGAAGAGAGACAGGGAGACGCCATCTTAGGTTAGGTTTGCCTTAAGGGGGTGTGTTCTAGTCTTGGAGGGAAAATCAGAAGTCTAGGATTGGTTAGAAAGATGGGGGCGGAGCCTAAGTGTTCTGAAGGAAAAAAGTGACTTTTAAACTGAGGCTTGAGTTCCCAATTTGCCAGAGTTGGGTGTTAGAACTTGGAAAGTGTAGAGCGGAGATGTTGGGTGTTAGTGAGAGCAGTTTGGGGTTTTGAAGGAGGACTTTGGATCAGTCTTTTGTTTAGTATTCAGGGTAGCTATAGAGAGGTATAGCTAGAATACTGTGTGGAGCAGAACCCAGTTAGTGGTCTGTTCCTTTCCTAAGGAAGGCTAGTTCAGGATTTGACTAGATTCCTAAGGGGGATTTTTGTGGGAGTTACTGTCAGAGATTCATTTCCTGAAGTAATTTTCTGTGTTGAAACTTTAAGACTTGAAACCCAGAAATTTTTAAGATCTCTTCTCAAACGTAACCACAAGCTTTTCTATGCCAGATTTTTACTGAAACCATCAAGCATTTGTACCTGAAATATTAAAGTCTGTTCAATAAACATTCTTGTTATTTTTATCAACTTACATCAGCCTCAGTGTGAATACCTTTGTGGTAAAAGTGTTATTCAAGTCACCTTTTTACCAGCCTCTAAGAAAACTAGAGTAGCACAGAGTGTGCTACTGAACAACCTTTCAATGGTACCTCAGCCCGTGCATTAGTAATATGGTGGCAGCGGAAACCTTTTAAAGAATCATTTTAAGTCTCTCAGTTCCATTGGTTCACAGTTCCTAGCTTTTAAATATACAGTTGGTTTATTAACAACCATACATCCCCTAGACTTTGGTGAGCTAGTCTGTAGTGGTGGTGTCAACGTTATAATTTGGTGAAGCAGGGTTGGGATTTTTATTATCAAATAAAGTTCCCCACTTTTCCCCACGGTATCGTTATATAGGCCTTATTGTGCTGGCCTTTTTATTGTAAAATCATGATTTTTTTCTGCACAAGATCACTCACAAGGTCTAATTGTTCTATTGAATCTACTGAATCTTAACTATGAGATGAGATGAGATGTTATGATGTTTATTGATTGTTATAATGTTATTCTTTTAACTTGTTTTAAACTGTTTTATCATGTTTAAGTATTGTATTTGCTTTGTTAACTGCTCTGAGTCGCCCTGAGGGCTGAGAAGAGCGGTATACAAATATAGTAAATAAATAATAATAAATACTATTGTTATTGCTCTAATATAAATTCTTTCAGTATTTGATGGGTACTAGCTTGTTTTTTTTCCAGTTTTTTGTCATAGTTCCCAGCAGTGTGCAAACCATCCTTTAAGTTATGCACATGTCACTGAAAATTAATTTCAGCTGTTTCTTATAAATCTTGTATAACAATATTTGGTGTAGCTCATATTTAAAAAAAAAGACTTGAAGGGTTTTTTTAGATGCAGCATTTCAGAAGCATTTCAGAAGAAGGGTTTCAGAAAGATCTGTGGAATATTTGGCATATACACATGGGAAAGTTTCTTCCTGTTTGCCAGATTTTTGGTGTCACATATTTAGGACTGGATAGAATGGAAAACAAATGTTATTGGTTACTTTCAATCTGTGGTCTAGCACATAGAGGATGTTGCATTAAAAGCATTATTTCTGAACAAAAACTCTGGTTCATCATGTTTCCTCAGGCTCAGATGTCTCATAATGAAAGGGTTTCCATTTCATTTTCTCCCCCCCCCCCCCCCCCCGACAATTGTGCCATAAATCCAATGCCTTCAGCTACAAGATGTGTTTCCTCTAAAACAGTGGTTCTCAACCTGTGGGTCTTCAGATGTTTTGGTCTTCAACTCCCAGAAATCCTAAAAGCTGGTAAAAAGCATCTGGGGACCCACAGGTTGAGAATCACTGCTCTAAACTCTGACTGATCTCTGTGTTGTACTTACCTCCAATGATATCAACAGTGGAAACTATCTTTTGTTCAATAAAAATTTCTCAGATTTACAAAATATTGGTTTTTTTTCTTGAAAGATCTTCATATCTAGAGGTAATCATTAAAAGGCACAAAAAGGAGTGTGAAATTCTTTTCAGTTGCTTTTTAAATTGTGCTTCATGTGTCAAGTTTAATTCAAGATCCAGTGCTTCAAGAATGTGTAGACATGTATGATTAAAACACAACACAACAATGTGTGAATTAACACATGAAACATATTATACACATATTAGTAAAACTACATAAAACCTCTTAAGAATGTTAATTTTTTCAACACATAGCATTAACAGCTTGACCCTCATGAATTTGTAAAGGCCTAGTGAAAGAGAAATGTTTTTACTCTCTGGTTTTTGTTTTGTTTTGTTTTGACATGATATAGGGGCCTTTAACAGTGTTTTGTAACTGTACTTGAAAAATAATTGACAATGTATAGGCATTTCTCGCTATCTTCAATTAGGGAGAAATAAATATTTTAAGCACTTTGAAACCAAGAAAAGAAAACACACGTCACTGAGGTAGTAAAATTATCTTAATACTCAGTATTAATTACTATTAAATTTATGTAGTTACATACATTTAACCAACATGCCAACATACATAGATATACATGTACTCACCTGTCTGTGGCACTTGAATTACCTGGTAATTCAACTGCCATGGACATAAGCTTATCCATGCCAATGAAAGGTCTTATCTCATTCTGAATAAATCAAATTCAAAACAGGAAAGGCTTGCCTGCTACCCTTAATCTTACTTTAAGCATACACAATGCATTATGGGTTAATATTCCTTATCCAAAATGTTAGAGCTGGAAGTGTTTTGGATTTCTGAATTTTTTAAATTTTGGAATATCTGTGTATGCATATATGTACATAATAAAATATCTTGGATATGGAACCATATGCACATAGCCTGTAATTTTATGCAATATTTTTTAATAATTTTGTGCATGAAAGAAAGTTTGTGTACTTGAACCATCAGAAAGCACTATCTCAGCCACCCATGTAGACAATTTTGGAATTTTGGATAAGGGATATTCAACATATTGTAGCCTTTGTTTCTGCATGTCTGCAGTTTTTTTAAAAAAAATGCTATAGTGTAGCTGGACATTTGAAATACTAAATTTTCCCAAATACAAAAATGTGAAGCAAAAATACCCAGATGTTTCAAATGGTATATTTAAGATCCAGATACTACTTTATGAAGATCCATCAAAATACAAGCAAGCACTAATTGACCCTTTCTATACATGCATCTGACAAAGCAGATCTGACAATTTATGTAATCAAGTTTTCTCCCCTTTTTCAGGTTTATTTATATTTGTATTCCACTGTGCCATGAAAGAAAATGTACAGAAACAATGGAGACGGCATCTCTGTTGTGGTAGATTCAGACTGGCAGACAATTCAGGTAATCTGTACACATATGTTTTATGAAATTCAACACTGTTTCAAGTGGAGGGGTGGAGTTATACTTGCAAAAGTAACTATGTGCCTCAACGTAGTTAGGGTCACTGATGTATTCTGTCTTGTCTTGTTGGATCTGTTGTTTCCTTGCCTGTAAACTAATCTAAGGCATGGCCTCATTTTTGCCCCCTGCTCCTCTTCTTCTTGGTTCCTGTTGACACTACCATAACAATAGTGCTATACTGTATTCCACTTTAATAATATTTGGGAAGCAGAGGGACTCTGAAATGAACTAGGGACATTGTCAGAGAGGAATGCAAAAGTACACAATCTGCAGCTAAAAAGGAAAAGAAATAAAAGCCTCAGTGGATGACAGAAGAGACTATTCAAGTGTTTAAGGATAGAGAACCAAAAGTAAAAGGTGACAGAAATATTTGGAATCCTGAGTGCTTGTTAATGTCAAAGGCAGTATGAAAAGATGTGGCAGACTGCATTCAAGGTGGTCAGATTCTATCAAGAAATCCATGACCGCTTCTGTGAGAAGGTAATGGTGTTCCATGCAGTCATGCTGTCCATATGACTTTGGAGGTGTCTATGGAAAAATCTGGCTCTTCAGCTTAGAAATGGAGATGAGCGCCACCCACAACTAGACTTAATGTCAGGGGAAACCTTTACCTAACAGCAAGACAAATCCACTTTAAATGCCATAGCAACTTCCTGTGATTTGTAGTTGGGGAAATGAATGATAAAATCCTACCTCTAATCTATAACAATAATAATGTCATCCTGTCTTATTTTAATTAAGCTTGGTCTTACTAGCTGGGTCGTATATAATTTAAAGATGATACAAATATTTATAATAGATTCATAGCCTTGAGGACAACTAGTCCGCCTCGGGGTGAGAAAAACGGTCTATAAATGCTGTAAATAGTGGCTTTTTAGGTATCAGACCACAAATTGCATTATCACCCAGCATTGGCTTCATTTACAGAGAACAACACTTAGAAGGATGCAGGTTGTCTATATCTGCTTTAGAAATTGACAAAATTAAAAGGACCTGCTAAAATATTATCAGGTAGCTCTACATGGCAATATCTGTGGCTTAGAATATGATGTTTTTATCCTCATCCCATGCAGGGAACTCAATAGTAATGTTCCCAAGATTTATATGGAACTAAATACATAAATTGCTATCAAATGTCTTTCAACAAGTATTAGATTTTGTAGAAGTCTCTGTAAATATACATGAATAGTGAACCTGCATGTTGCATTTATTTGTGGCAATGTAAGAAAGCCTTGAATGTTATATACAAGTGTTGTCTAGAGAAGTGCCTGTTAATCACCAGCTGAAGCTTCAGTAAATCTTGCCAGCCAAAAGGTTGACAGTTTGAAGCAGGGTCAGGGTGAGCTCCTGACCTTCAGCTCAGATCGAAAACAGATCAAAAACAGCAATGTGACTGGATAAATAGGAACCATAATAAACAGGGAGATATTTTACGCACTGTGATTCTGAGGAAAGTTTACAAACAAAGAAAGCTCTTCAGCAAGGAGATGGAGCGACAGCACTCCCTGCGGCCAGAACTGAGCGCAGCCTCCAAAAGATGCTGAATTATGAGAAAAAGCTTAGATATACCTCTATCTGTTGTCTGTCTTATCGCTGTATAATTAGCATTGAATGTCTGCCATATATGTATTCTGTGATCTGCCCTGAGTCCCCTTTGGGATGAGAAGGGCGGAATATAAGTATTGTAAATAAATAGACAAATTTCCTATGTACGATTTGTGTAAGACTTGATCATGGACATAGTCTCATACTCCCCTTATCAAAGAGGAGATGCATAAGTTAAGCAGTAATAATTATAAACCTGGTGCAAGTGTCTCTTGGTTTACTATGTCTTTGCTTATAAAAATAATAATACAGTTACAGGCATCTTCTTTTTGTATTTATTTTCCAGACTGGAGTAAAACAGCAACTAATATCATTAAGAAGAGTTCAGACAACTTGGGGAAATCCTTGTCTTCCAGTTCAATTGGTTCTAATTCGACCTATTTGACTTCCAAATCAAAGTCCACATCAAATACTTTCCTTAAAAGGAACAGTCATTCTGGTAAGTCTTTTCTTCAGTATAAAAGCATGATATCTAAAATGCAAAAGTTCAACTTGCAATAATTTGGTTTACACTAGCTAGGATTCTTCTCCCCACTCTGAAAAAAATGGTTGAGTTGTGTGGTATCACTGGACCCTAGGCAACTCTTCCAGATCGAATAGAAACCCATACATTTGAGGGAGTTCTTCACCAGAAGCCCCTGTAATCAGAATTCTATTCAGTATTTTATGATATTTATTATCTTTCAGGCTTCCAAGAACTGATGTATAACTAAACCTAAAATATGACTACTGGCTTTTTAGTTATCAGTTTGTGTCTAATATATGACTTATAATTATGTTGTGCTACACACTCGTGTGGTCTGCCAGAGTTCAAAAGGCAGAATTTTTTGATATATTACTGGTTCACATAAATTGCAGTTCCTGTGTCCCAGAGTGCCAACTAAAGGGTGTGTGAGATAGTGGTGGTTATTTTTTTTACTACATTATAGGCTATCCTTTATCACTGTGTGTGACACAAGAAACAAGTTATTCTTGTTCTATATCTTATAATAATTATCTTCTTATTATGTGTAACTTTCAAAAATATGCTCTTGTCTGTAATATTTTTCCTTCCATCTGAAGCTAGTTAGAATCTGTTTGAAGATTATCTTTATACCACTGGTTATCCAAAATAGTACTTCAAGCTAATGTTTAACCATGTTTTTCATAAATGATGTAGCTGGTTTGTCACTATAGCACTTGTTGAAATAACTATGGTTCTCTGGAATTAACTCAGACACTCATATATTTATGGCATAGATAATGTCTTCTAAGAACATTTCCTCATCCCTCGTGGAATATCCAAGGTAAAGTGTCTATCACTTTGGCTGAATGCATGGTTTCCAAACATTATCATGACGAAACTTGCATGAAGTTGCAATTGGCACAATCATACATACTGCTTCATTTTATGCTATGCCACTTTCTCTGACATTTATTCTGATTGACTATGATTCACTGCTCAAGAATACTTCAGATTCTGATTGGCCATCAAATGCATGAAAATTAAGTATCCAGTGTACTTTCAGGTGGTGGAAAGAGCATCCATATCATTCCTGTTCTATAAATTATGCAAGCATGCAGCAAGGCAAGAGGGTGGCTTTTGCTTATAATTTTGCTATGTGAACTTCTCCCAAGGGGCTTATTGTTCTAAACTTTTTACTATGGACAAACCAATGTTACTATAATGTTTTCATTGATTTCTCGGTACCTTTTCTCACTGTGTTCAAAGCACTTTAGTTGGTTACAAAAGGGAGAAAATACTCTTCAATTATCCAATTGATTTAGTAATATATTTTTTAAAAAACAAAACAAAACACCAAGCACTTTATTTTTCAGTACTATAGGTTAATTTAATAGTTATATGTTATTGTCTTGCTATTATCTTTTGGTTTTCACATGTATGTACAGCACTGAATTTTGCCTTTATAATGATGGAAAGTACATAAAAAATTTTCTAGGAATTTGAAGTGAGCTTTTGAACTAAATACGAATTGGAACTAAATATACTGTAAGCCATTTTTTCTTTGCAAGTTTAGTGTGGTTAGAATTAGTCCAGTTCACCTAATGACTCACTTCTGAAAGCTCATTGTGGGCAATCTGTACAGTTTTGATGTACTTATGCACAGAAATGAACCATCAAGCAGTGCTGTGTTTGCAAAAATGATAGTCTGTCTTGAGCATTCTCCTCTTTCATTGAACATCATGAATAGTTTCACTTGTTTAATGTAGATTCATAAAACTCACATAAGTAAACATAGTTATCTAAAAAAAATTTGTTTAATATATGACATTAGTAGGATGTCATTATCAAATCATTAAGTCTGTGCTAGAGGATCTTGCCATACCTAAATGCACAGTACAAAAGGGTTGCCTGAGTCTATATATCATTACACATATTTATCTGCCTTTTCAAAAGAAATTCTATATGTTTTAGCATGTTTGTGCTTTCTTATGTGAAACTAAACAAAAACCTTCTGTGCAATCTTTATTTTCACCTGTACATCAAAAGCAATGTTTTCAGTCCTCCTTTGTTGTATTTACTCACCGTTATCATAAATGCTTTGGAAAACTCATTTTCTTCTGTTCATACTACTGGCTTCTTATTTTAAATTTTATAAAGGATATTACTTGCAAGCAGAATGGTAGGTTTTTTTCTCAAACAGGACTTTTAAAAATGTTTTTAAAAGGAGCAAATATTGCAGAAGTCTTTAGCTATACATCATTAGGAAATCAAAGGCAAAGTAAGATCTTATTTGCTAGATGTTCATAAATATAACATGTATACTTGATAATATGATATCTCATTGCTTGAGCTCCACCTAATGGTTGTACTCAGGTGAGTATGGCTGTTTACCGATATATACATTCTCATCTGTTTCTATTGGAATTCTAATGAATGATATTTCATCCTGCATAAGCAAATGGATCAAAGATCAAGAATCAAAGATATTTGTTGTGATTTTCTGTGATGTGTTCAGTATCTCTAGTTGGTTTCAGCTGAAACATGAGGTGGAACCTACTGGGAAGGAGTGACAGCTCTTCACTGAGCTACTGCAGGTCTCTTCAACTTCTAGCCTTCCAGGTGTTTGGGCCTCCAACTCACAAAGGCCCTAGCCAGCTTGTTCAATGGTCAGGAATTCTGGGAGCTGAAGTCCAAAACACCTAGAGGGCCACAGATTGAAGAGGCCTGTTCTAAAGTCTTCATCTTAGATGACATAACATCTGGCCAGATTTTTAGACTTTTTTTTTGTTTTTTTTCTCTGAATCTCCAAATTATTATGCAATTTACCCTAATGAAGCATTCTGGAGAACACTAAAATCTAACAGATTTATGTCTTAGTAGTGATCCTAAGAAGCCTAGTACAGAGCTCTAAATTTTGCTTCTACCACTGAATCTCTCAGCCATTTTCATTTTTAATTGCATATATTAAGTTAACTAAAGCAAGAGGAGTGAGATATGTTAGGTAATATTTATATTGTTCCAATCTGGTTCTGTGATGTTGTCAGTCAGCTAAGTCCAATGATGTGCCATCATCATGATATTTATAACATATTCTTGGTTCAAAGAACAGGAAAATGGTAATAGAGTACCAGCTGTGTATATTGGAACACCAGTGAACAGACATGACAAATATATAGAATTTTGGGAATATTTTGTTCACAAAAATGTTTGTACCAAAATAATTCACCTGCCCAATAGTCATAGTAATTTTGAAACTACGTATGTAGTGTCAGTTACCATACAGCAAGTCAACATGAGAAAGCTGAATTTCATATTCTGCAAGACAAAGTAACTTAATTTATTGTACAGTGTGAAACAAAGTCAAACTATTGAAAATTATCTGACTTTTGATTATTATCCTTAATAATCAAACAAAAGAGAAGTTACTTTTAATGTATATGTGATAATGAATACTAACCGTTAGCCAGTAAACTTTTCAAAATACTGACTTCTTTTTTCCTTTTTCTTAGACAATGTTTTCCTTGACAAGCCATCACCAAAATACATTCAAGTGGACACAGAGCAGAGTTCAATTATACCAGTTCATCAGGTTATTGACAAAGTCAAGGGGTACTACAATACCCATTCAGACAACTTCTATAGAAACATTATAATGTCAGACTCCTTGAGCCACAGCACAAAATTCTAACTTTCTGGACATCTGGAAAAATAAAATTCAACAAGCAGCATGGAGATTCAGAAGGATGAATGACATGAATACTACCAAAGTCTTCTGCTTTACCTTGCTTTGACAACAGTTATTTAGCAAGTTCCTCTCAGAAAGGGCCTCCCACACCTGTTTCCTTTTGGAAAATCAGAACATCTAATTCATTTTCTCCATATACACACTGTTGTGGCTGACATTTCTCCGCCTGGACAGTTGTCTAATCTATGCTTTGTGTGATCATCTTATTTGTATTAAGAAGGTCCTAAGAACCCAGACTACAGCTTCTGGAGGAAGACTTTAAACATACTATCAAGATGTTTGCAGAAAAAAAACTATAAACATATAATCAAAACCTTTCCTTTTTTAGGATGTGTTTTTCTCTGTTATGTCTTCACCTACAAGGATAATGAACGTGCGTCTGTGATGTACAATGCATGGGTTTCTCAACAGAGTCATCCTGCCGGCAAAATGGACATGCTGGCAAAATGACTCTTCTTTTGCATTGGAATCCCATACAAAGTCAATGAAGGATTTAAAGCACTGCAGGGAGAGAAGAGGAAAGAGAAGTCCCAACGCATAAGCATAAGTCTCTTTGAAAAATTATGTCTGGAACCCTAGGTGTATTCCAGGTTGCCTTATCACAGTCAAGGGAAAGAGCCCTATTATCACAACATGCTTGGGTATACAGAGCAAAACTGTCTTCAAATGAAATCACCTTAATTTTGCTTGCAAAGTCTGGGCCATATTTATAACTTTGTGAATTAAAGTATCTAAGACTTCTAGATTATAAGTGGATGGAGGAGGGTGAGAAGAGTGTTTCTGTAGCTGTAGACATGCTTGATAATGAATTTCATGTTATGTAAAAGTCTGCATAATCCTGGGCCATTGGAATTGGTCCCAATAGATTACATTGCCTTTCCTAAAGTCTATTTCTCAGCAAAATCTGAAATGTTATAAGGCTTCATTGACTGACTATAGTAGATAAAAAGGTAACAATTTACTTCATCAAAAACTTATATGTGTGAAAGTGTAAGATTTGAATATGAGCAGAGGCTTCCCCATTGATTCCAACATAAGCCATTCTGTACACATCTCTCCTTTCTAAAGATGTTTCTTGGCTGTTGAGTGAGCAGAGAACTTGAGATCATTGTTCATAAAGTTGCACACCGAATAGATTATTAATCTGTGCACATATATGGATTAGTAACATAAAGAGCTACCTTATATTGAATCAAGTCAGTGCTCCATCTAGACCAATGTTGTTAACTCTTGACGGGCAGTGGTTTTGCAGGGTTTCAGGCAGGATTCTTTCCCTTCCCTGCCTGGAGATCCTATGGCCTCTTTAGATTCACTAAAGACTATGTGCATCATCTTGCATACATCATATTTTCCACTTGAATGAATTTTTTGGTTAAAGAGAATTTCCCAAGATAAAAAATAAGAACTAAAATGCAAAATAGTGTTTGCCACTACTCAGTTCTTCTAGTGATAACTCTTCCTGCTTGCTTACTTGTCTGCCTCTCTTGCAAGACACTATGCTGTACAATTACTAAAATAATAAGTCCTTTTGAGTGCAGTGGGGTTTGCTCAGAGGTCTGTTTGTATAGATTGGAGAGCCAGGTTTTATGCTCCTATTTTAAACTTCTCCAATATAACCTACTGTTCTTACCTCTGTTTTGATGTCTGCAATGTTCAAGATTTTTATAATTCATCACAAACACTTTTGTTCTGCATCCATTTTTAACAGGATTTCTTTACATATGTACTCCAATTAAATTGTCAAATCACTTGAATTGCAAACTGTTTATTCAAAATCGAACTGATCCTAAACCAAGTACTTCATTTCACGAGCTGTGGATCAGACTGTGAACTATATGATTCCTGATTACAGAATCTAATGGAGTTAATAACTCCATTAAGAAGGGAGAAACTATTTGTATGGAAACTTTGACAAATTTTGTATATTTTCTTATTCGTTCTCAAAAAATATTTTGATGTGACATTCATGGTGGTGGTGGGGGGGGCAGAAGGGATTGTTTTTGAATGATTAGACATTAATAAAATAGTTAAATAGAGACTAAAAAGTAGAATTTTACCAAGTCAATCCCAGCTACGGTGTGATCATTCAGTTATTCCCTATATTTTCACTAAAATATTCTTTGCTTTTACTACCATGTAGTAATCCTAAACTATTTCAAATATGCATTTTCCAGTGGTTTTATACCCCTTTCAGGGTAAATCTTTGGCTTTCTTGTTGGCATAGCATCACCTCCCCTGTATATACTTATTTATTTTTGAGGTTTAAAATGTCAACATAGTGTTAGCTGCATATTGGCTATTCTTGTGATTATATGCATTTGTTTCACAATAAGAGGTAGAAAAATAATCTCAAATATATATATTTGTATTGTATTTTCTATGAGAAAAAATGTATTGCCTTTGATATTGTTTAGCAGCATGAGTGGAAAATGGATGTAATTTCAAATGCTAGCTGTTAATGACTAGTGTGGTGGATTTAGAGGCTGATCAAAGCAGAAATACTCCCAAGTGTTTTAGTTGTTAGTATGCCAAATAATTAAATTTTTAAAAAACCGTGAGCGTTTTGTTTATCTGTTTCTTTGCTGTGCATGAGCAGCAAAATCATCTGGTAGAATGCCAAGGAATAAATCTGCTATGTCTGTATAAAGCTGCTTTGTCAGAACTATGGGAAGAAAGATGCTAGACTAAACCTCGGCTGGGAAATAATGCATTTTGTAAGAGCTAGTTTTCTTTGGCAGCAATAGTTCAATATTATCCACTCATTCAGGAGCCCTAGTTGCACACAATCTATGTTGGCATTAGGGAATGAAAGGGCAAGATACTTCCTCAGCAATAACAACAGCAGTCTATTCAGCCTATTGTCTGGTCTCATTGGACCCTCGGGCCCTGACTTTAAAGCTAAATTGTCTGTGATGTTTGGTCTTTTTGAGATGGAAGTCAGGAGCAGAATGGAAGGAAAACTTCATCCTGTTGAGGCCCAGTCACACTGCACAACTTCAGCACCATGATTCCAATTTTACTGCCATGACAATATCTGAAAATCCTGGGATTTGGAGTTCAGAGAGTGGTGTTTAGAATTCTCAGCCAGATAACTCCCATGGCTCGCCAGATGCCAAACCCCAGGAATCCATAAGATGGGACCATGACAGTTAAAGTGGAATCATCATGCTATAACAATGTAATAGGAAAGGGCCCTAGTCTCTTCCTGGGCCCTCAGTTTGGGTTTAGTCCAGGTGTCAACATTACAGTTAATTTTGTTCATTTCTTTATTACACACATGTATGTTAAACAAAAGGTAAAACTATTAAAGAAAGGAAAGTGTAGTGGTATAATCTAGATGTCAACAAGAATGTGTTCATGAAACACCTCTAAATATTAATACTTGTGGACCCCATGCTTCTCCAAAACCTTTGAGACCATTTTAGCTTTGTGACCACTAGTGCAGCCTGGCAAAGCCAAAACCCACCCAATCCATTCAATAGATGAGTAAGATTTGAGCCCAAGTTTCTTGCATTCCATGACACAAACTATTGTACCATAATGATTCCCTCTGCAAGCACTTGGACTGCAAAACAGAATGCTAGAAACATCTGAATGAACAGATGAAGATCTTAAATACACAGATTTTCCCATTCCTGGGTTGTTGAAGGTTTTTCGGGTTGTATGGCCATGTTCTAGAAGCATTCTCTCCTAATGTTTTGCCTGCATCTGGGACAAGCATCCTCAGAGGTTGTGAGGTGTGCTGGAAATTGGAAAATTGGGTTTATCTGTGGAATGTCCAGGGTGGGAGAAAGAACTCTTGTCTGTTGGAGCTAGGTGTGAATGTTTCAATTGGCCACCTTGATTAGCATTTCCAATGAGGAAACAATCAGGAACACCTGGTCACCTCTCAACAAGGAAATTTCCCAGGCAATAACAAGCCACACCTATAAACTGTCAGGCCACCAAATGCTTATCAAGGTAGCCAATTGAAACATTCACACCTAGCTCCAACAGACAAGAGTTCTTTCTCCACCCTGGACATTCCACAGATATATAAACCCAATTTTCCAGTTTCCAATTTTCCAAACCTGTGAGGATACTTGCCACAGACAAAACGTCAGGAGAGAATGCTTCTAGAACATGGCCACACAACCCGAAAAACCAACAACAACCCAGTGATTCTGGCCATGAAAGCCTTCGACAATACATTTTCCCATTCTTCTTTACATGGTGAAATCATTATCAGGATGAAGTTCAATATCTCCATTGGCAATCCCACATAAATAAGCAAGGATTAAAATTAGTTATTAAAATTTTTGCCTCTATCTCTAGATTGAAATATGGATTTTATATACCAAATTGCAAATTGTGGATTTCTGACATAACCGTAGTAGATAGAATTTCAGAAACATTACTTATATAGATTCGGTGTGTGATGAATATATATAAAATTTTAGTATGAATTTGAAAAGTTCATTCATCGGTTCGAATTAGAGATATCACTTGTCGTAGATGTATTGCATTGTATCCCACATTTTCAAACTGTAAGATACACCTCTGCATGACAGCATTGATTGTTGCAGCTTGTTCCACCATTATCCACATCAAACAAACCTGAGATATACTGATGGAGCTATTACTGCAAAGAATAGTAATTACTTGGAGTTAGTTTCAAGCAACTGTTAAATAGAAATCAACCTCCGCATAACTTTTAAAACCATTAGACCCACTTCTACTCTTTGAGGCAGTAGACAACAGGCTTGCACTCTCCTCTTTGTGGCAGCCCTTGAAATAGTTAAGGAGTATGATGGTGCCACTCTCCCCTCATTAAGCTGAATATGCACAAATCCCTCAAATTTCCCTATTTTCTTCTCCTTATCTCTTATCATCCTTATTGCCCTTCTCTGTTACCAACTTGTCTAATCCTTCATAAACTGAGATTCCCAGAACTAAACACAGCACTCCAGATGATTTCTAACTAATGCAGTATGTAGTGGGACTATTACTTTACTTAGAAACCATAATTTTATTCATGCAGAATAAAATATTATTTACCATCTTTCCTGCAATATCATAATGCTAGGTCATGTTCAACTTATGATCAACAAGATAAACATGGTGTTAAAAAGATATCGGGAACCAACACCCACAAATATTCAAGGACAGTATGAACCCTGCTTCACAGAGTACAGATTTAGGTTTGTCGCTTATGGCATGGACATCAGTGGTGCCAGATACGGGTGGGGCCTGGTGGCTCAATAATGGATCAGTTTTCATTTCTAGAACACAGTTCCTATAACATTTAATCCATACTCCGAGTTCCAAAAACACTCAATCTTTCTCTTTTTGATTCTAGTTTTATATTCACCAGATACCATAAAATGGAGATTAAACCCCCTGCAATGTTATAAATCGAAGCAATCCTCCCGCAATCGTAAACGCTTTTAAAAGTTAGCAATAAAATCCAGTTCTGTAAGTAGGATATATTCCTATGTAAACGTGTTTCCAGGTAAGCACTGAAGTTTTAGGGTTCTAAATGGTTAACTGCTGGGGAAATGGCAAATAGATATATGATTAAGTAGAAAATTCTAGAAACAAATTGTAGAGGATTTTATAGTCTTAATCATGTGTACTACTCTTTGTTCACCAAGAGATGGAAACAGAATGTTGAGCTACATGGACTGAACTGATCAAATAAATAGATTTTTATTTTTCTATATTGTTATGTGCCAACAGCATGACTAAGGCCCTTTCTACATTGCTGTATAAAATCTAGATTATCTTTTTTTGAACTGAATTATATGGCTGTGTAGACTCAGATAATCCAGTTCAAAGCAAATAATCTGGATTTTCTACCTTGATATTCTGGATTATGTGGCAGTGTAGACAGGCCCTAAGTCTCCTCAGCACTTTCTGCAGTTTTAGGAGAAAAAAGCTTCTTCTCTAAATAGACTTCAAACAACCTTAAATGTGCATTTCAACATGACTGGAAAGGATGGCATTTGACCATTCAAGATACCAAGTTTAGCAGCATTGGGAAATGTACTCCTTCCCACCTTCCTCACCTGTTTCCAGAATTGTGGTGCAGTGATCTAAGAAATAGGCTATGTGTGAGCATTCCTGCATTGCAGTAGTTCCCAGCATGTTTCTCTTAGAATAAAAAATAGGAATCATATCAAAGCAGAGTTAACTGTCTAACTTACCACTAGTCAGCAGAGGGCAGTACAGTACTGCTGTTTGCAAAACACTAGTCCAATATATTTCCATGTGTTTAATTATAGTTGTTAACAGGAAGATTCAGATTGTAATCTCATTATTTAACAAAGGCACACCTTGACATAAAACAATTTTTCAGTCCTGGGCAATTATGTGGGCTCTGTCTATATGCCTTGGATGATAACATATGTGTTGGTATTTTCTAGAGTACAGATAGAAGATGAAAGGAGAATCTTTCAGCCATAGGATAAACGGAGCTCAAATGCTGAAATAGCAGGCAAGCATGCTAGCAAATCAAACACCAACTCAGCTGTCATATCTTGTTCCACTTCATCGCCAGCTCCACACCCCCAATGTAGCCGTTCCTTGAATATTTTTGAAACGTGCAGAATGAATGTTCTTATCCCACCATCTCTGATCTATTTATTTTTATAGAAAATATGCAAAACTATCCCAGGGATGGGGAGGGTGGTTACGCACAACTACCAATTCTACACAACTATTTCATGCTTCAAAGTATTAGAATCCACTGTCCTACTACAGGAATAATGAGACCAGACACAAGAAGATATGGTATTAAATAAGGGCAACATTATTAATTGTTATCTATTGAACTATTTTTTGGTGATGCGCAAACCTAAAGCGAGGTGCAACCTGGTGCGGGAGATGCCTGAGCAACAGGTCTCACCCAGATCATCCCAGCATCCATGGGTGAAACCACCATAGCTCCCAAGAGGAATCCCTGAAACTCAGGGTTGCTCCCAGGCCAGTGATAAACTGAAAGGCTAACCAGAGGGTATAAGCCTTCAAACCACTGGGCCCCTAGAAAGGTCAAAGACTCAGAGACCAGCCCCAAGGACAGTAGATTTTTAAAAAAATCTCTAGATAGCTTGTTTTACAGGGCCAGTTCCAAATTTCATCAAAGTGTACCAGAAGGTGTTCACTGACTCATATCTACCCTGAACACGAATTATAGATAGGAGCAAGCATCTGCTTAGTCCTTATGCCCCTCTAAACCTACCAAGATGTTTTTTTCCCTTTTGTAAATCAACAAAACATTGCTCATGTCCGTATTAACACTCCCACAGTATCGCCTCTGTTTAAAAGACAGAACTGAGTATATTGTAATAACACTGGGGATCTTTGTATTTTGAAAAAACACTGAGAATGGAAAGGTGTCTAAAATAATCAAAAGCTGTATGTGTAGCCTGCCAGATTTTAGAGCTCTTGTAATCCCCAGCAAAAGCCTATCCAGTTCAGCTCCATTTTTCACAGTGGGAAATGAAATTATGATGGGAAGTAGACAAGAAGGGAAGTTTTTTTAAGTTGTTTCCTAATAACAATTTAAAGCAGTTGGGGC